AGATAACGGAGAAGATTGGACCTGTCGACTTCAGAGTCAAACTTCCGCTGCAGAACAAGGTCCATCCCGTCTTCCACGCTTCAAAGCTTATCCCCTACCATGAAGACAAGATCGGCAACCGCAATCCGGAGAAGCCTGACCCCATCGAAGTTAAAGGTCATGATGAGTTTGAGGTCGAAAAGATCCTAGACTCTTGCGTTAACCATGGATACATGCAATACTTTGTCAAATGGGCCGGCTATGATGTCTCTGAAGCAACCTGGGAACCCGTACTCAATGTCAAATATATGAAGGAACTACTCGATGAGTTCCATGCCCTTCATCCAAACGCACTGCAGCTGATCGCTCTCAACAATCCACAACTAGTTGCCCGGGAGTTTCAAAGCAATATTTGGTTTGAACGCTTCGCAGGAGCTCAGATCTTGAAGAGGGGGTAGTGTCACAGTTTTCTCGTGCCATGTGACCTGGAGGTCATGTGCACTGGGACAGACGCTCACCTTGACCGCGGACAACTCGTATTGGAAAGTGGAGGGGCCAGGATCGAACCCCAGACCTCATGACGGCCGGGAGCGCTCATCCTCACTCACTGACAGGTGACTGATGTGATAGCAGGAGCGCTTACTCATTGGAAGGGGTCCGGACTTGGCACGACTCAGGTATTAGTTGTAAGGTCACCATGAGGCAGGTCAGAGGGTAGGACATGAGGCAGAGAACTCTGACCAAACGATGGTCAATAGGTGCCTGGTCTGTGCACCGTTGTATTAGTATATATAGTAGGGGGTCTGAGGCAGGGAACCTCAGACTTGATCTTCTCGTCAATCACCCATCTCCTCTGTAGGTAGCTAGCAGCCCTACCTTCCTTACTGCCCCTTCTAGTCTAGGGAATACATCTCTTCGCATCTCTTGCTGTGTCACCTCTGGTTGCTTCGCTTCTCAGCACCAACCTCTGCATCAGTAAGCTTTGCCCTTGTTTGTTTTGGTGGCACAGCTCATTGGCTGTGACATATGTCCACTGAATTTCTGGGTACACCTGAAGAGTAGCGGTGGGTGAGGCTGGACGGGTGTGTGCCTGTGAGGGAGCAGGGTTGGTGTGACCATGATCTTCCGCTCTGAAGTCATCCTCTGCCAGAGGAGCAAAATGAGAACCTGAAGCCATTGTGATGATATCCAATGTACAAAACTAAACCACAATTCAATCTAAGTACCCAAAACGTTCAAGTTCTACTAGAGACTTAACAACCCATTCGAAATTCTGTCCCAGTCCGCTGAATTTGACTGGTCCAAACTCCTTACAGACCCAGTCGATGTTCTACTATTGGCTATGTGTCCAAGAAGGGCTGTTCTCCTCAATGTTGTACAAAACCCACTCGAGTCTGTCGCCAATGCGCTGAAGAGCAAGTCGGTGATTATGGGAGATGTCGAGCAATTGGTTCTTGCGATCGAAGACAGCCTGCAGTCTTTTAATGACAGTGCTGATCTTGGAGCCAATGATGGCAAGGAGATCAATGGGGTCATGATTCGCAAAGGAAGGGAGAGATGGCGCCAAGATATGGTACTGAAGAGGGACCGTAGGAAAAAAGGGGGCAGGTGGTAGTGGTGGTGTGGTTAAACATTGAGGGAGCGGTATGAAGGGCTGACTGGGGGACACAGATGGTAGGAGGGCCTTGCAACGAGGGACGACCAGGGTATGCCGATACTGATGGCGATGACAAAGATGATCTGATGTATCGTCCGCAAGGGTGTGGTCAATCTGAGACTGGATGTCGAGGTAACCGTGTCTCTTGAAATGATGATGGGTAAACTCCGGTAGGTCCGAGTCGGATAGAAGGATAGTGGGGGGGGATGATAAATGTTTCAAAAAACTCCTGGGGAAGAGATCCGGTCCGCAAGTGGTTGAGACACTCCACGGAGGGGATGAGTAAGAGACTTGATCCAATGTCACAGCCAATGAGCTGTGCCACCAAACAAACAACGACAAGCTTACTGATGCAAAGGTTGGTGCTAAGGAGCGAAGCAACCAGAGGTGACACAGCAAAGAGATGTGAAGAAGTATATTCCCTAGACTAGAAGGGGCAGTGAGAGGTAGGGCTGCTAGCTACCTACAGAGGAGATGGGGGATCAATGAGAAGATCAAGTCTGAGGTTCTCTGCCTTAGACCCCCTACTATTTATACTAATACAATGGTGCACAGACCAGGTGTCTATTGTCTATCGTTTGGTTAGAGTTCCTGCTGACTCAAGTCTTGTCTTGTGATCTGCCTCATGACATCCTTACGACTAATACCTAAATTGTCCTAAGTCCAGGCCCCTTCCAATGAGTAAGCGCCTCTGCTGACATACCAGTCACCTGCCAGTGAGTGATGGTGGGCGCTCCCAGCCTTTACAAGGTCTGGGGTTCGAATCTGGCTGCTCCAGTTCTCAATACGAGTTGTTCGTGGTTAAGGTGCGCATCTGCCTTGGTGCACATGACCCTCTAGGTCACATGGCACGAGAAAACTGTGACAGGATCCCTTTGTCCTCTGTTGTTATTGTCTGGTGTCCATTGTTCCCTGATTAGTCAGCAACTATGTACTTTAGTATACAAGGATAGGTCTTGCACTGGACAACCCAGTTTAACCTCTTATACCAATTAAGTGTTTTCACTCCCCAGACCCCTAGTGACCTCAAACCTCCAGACCCCCAGTCAATCTTGTGTGCTGTGTGCTAAGCTTGTCATCAGCCTGTGTCCTTGTTGTGCATAACCTGCACATGACCCCTTTGAGTGCTAACACACTTTGCCGTAACAGTCACTCTTCTTCTCTCTTTCTCTTTAAAGCACCTAGCCACCATAACATATACTTATCACTAATAGAAGCATGAATGTACTTACTGCTAATAAGCTTGTCAAGACAAATCAACTCTATTCTGATTATTGAACACTTCTGAGCATCTTAAAACAGTAATCAGATTCTTCCAGACATGACACAATAGACAAGATGCACAGAAATAAGAAGTTGCCACCTAATAGTGTAGTATAAAAACATGTGCAATAGTGGAACATCTCAATGACCTCATCCCATCAGTTGGGTTGCATCTTCTGGGGGGTATTTGGTTTGAGCAAATGTCAAAATCCTATCTCACTTTTGATTAATCAATCAACTATGCAGTTAGATGCTACATACCTTTTTAGACTCTGAATATACTTGCGGCTGACTTCATCATTCAAGACGTGCGCGACTTGATCCGCAGAAATCTTCTCCCGAGCTGAACGCTCATGAATACTAGAGCCGAAGGTAAGATTGCATGGTCACACACAGAAGTATAGGCAAGATCTTACCCAACCATTGTTACACCAATAGGCCACGGCGCATTGCCGATAGACAAGCGTAGGTATGAATCATTGGCTCGCTGGTATTGTCGCCTTTGCATATAGTGAACTATCTCGGCAATCCGCGCGAGCATGTCCGCTGGAAGGTTCTACGGGGATCGTTAAGAACCGGCCTACTACGAGGAACAAAGGGATAACACTTGCCCTCGCCCGCAAGAGCTTGAATAGAGGTTTAAGATTGTCGGCAGACTGCCGTTGAGTGGCGGCAGCATTCTTGCCTTGTGTTGTATGCTTCACATGCTCTGCGAACCCCCCTAAGGAGTAGCTCGACGTGTAAGGATGACGTGACTCACCTGGACGTTCGTCCATCCACTGCTCCCACTCCTTCAGCGCTCTCTTCAGAGCGTAATAGATAATCGGATACAGCTTATCCGGATCCGTCTTAACGAGGTTGAGGTCGAGGATTTCACTGCCCAATGATGCCTCCCCATCCTTCTTCTTGCTCCTGTCCCGGTCAGACTCGTGTCGGTCCTTCATCTGCCTTTCGATGTTTTCGACATCCTCCAGGGCCTTCTTGAAATCGTTCTGGCCGCCTTGACGCTCGTGATCCTTCTCCTCAATCAGCTCCAAAGCCCGCAAACGGAGTCGACGTTCCTTGTCCGTTTCGCCGAACAGTCGAATTGGCTGGCCTTTGGCGCGCAAACGACGGATTGTCTCCTCATTTGACATGTTGAAAGACTGAACGGAGTCGGGAGCAGGTGAGCCGTTAGACGAACCCCCTTCAGGGTGCGGCGACTTCGTCGATGTACGAGAGCTGCTGGCCTGTGCTTTGGTCACGTATAACGCTCTGACCCAGTGCAGATAGACGTACCTTCGCTGCCGCCTTCTGTCTCCGCCTCTCCTCCCGTTCACGTTCCTCTCGCTCGCGTTCTAGTCTTCGCTGCTCCTCCTTCTGCTCCTTCTCCCGCCTTTCCTGTTCCTCCTTCAGCCGCTCGATCTCTCCGCGTCGCATATACTTAGTCGGCCGTGCGCCATCGGGAGCGGGGACGTCGAGCGCCTTGCGTTTGAGCGCGATCTCAGCCATGAGGGCGTCCATATCGAATGACGAAGATGAATGTAGAAGTACAGTTGAGTAGGATGGGGCTGCGCCGGTGTAGCCGAAGGGCGACGGTGGTCGAGGGCAGGAGAACGCGGAGGGCAGCCGAGGCGCCGGGCGCGACTGGACTGGATCGGGCGCGGTCGGCGTTCTCCGGGGCGGTAGCGCGCGACGTTCCGACTGTTTCCTCCTCTCTCGTCTCGTCCCTCCGTCGTTCACTTATCACCTCTTCTCTCACTTTCTCCCCATCTCGCCATGTCTGACCTCTCGAGGTTCGTCAGAATACCCAATGCGCACCTCATAGTACGCCGCTAACGCGAAACCTCGGATTACAGCAAATACGTCCTCCAGACTGCTGGCTTCGACGGTGAGTTCCGACGTCTTCTAATGCGCAACTCTCCTCAACCTACCTCCAGCCCGCTTCCCCAACCAAAACCAGACGAGGCATTGGTGCGGTTTCTCCCTATTGCTCTTCACTTTTGTCTCTGACGTCGCGACGCGTCCGTTGCTACCTCTTTCCGCCTATGGCTCTTACTATGTATGTGCAGCTTCCAGAACTACACCGACTACTTCAAGTGCATCGCCGCCAAGGGTGAGGACTACGCTCCCTGCAAGCAGTTCAAGCGGGCGTACAACTCTCTGTGCCCCAGTACGTTTTTCTGATAGCTGCGTCTGTGCCGGCAGGTTCTCATCACACTCTTTCTTCCCATATCAACCATCTCGTTGCGTCGGTTGCTGCACTTAAGACGAATGGGTGAGTGCCGAAAGCTGCCAATAGTTATATGGCTCCTAGTGCTGACAGCCGTTCCCCTAGATCGCCAAGTGGGATGAGCAGCGCGAGAACGGCACCTTCCCCGCCTCTCTCGAGCCTTGAGGTGGATCGTTGGACACTATACATGTAGACCTCCCTAAAGTCCCACTTCCTGGACAAGCTATACAATCGTCCCGTTGCGACTGCCTATCCAGGCCGAGTGCTACAAACCTATATCGGATAGTGCGTCATGATACACAGCGTTGCGCATCACAACCAAACGCTACTGGTACATGCATTAGTGGCTCTCTACCTTCTAGGGTGCTACGAGATAGCCGAGGTATATGAATACGACGGTGTATAGTATGCTACTGTGGGGAATCAGCCTAGTCCTAGCATGGCTCTCCGTCCACCCGCTAGTGCCTGCTAGTAGTCCGTAACGGAATGTGAACGTAAGTATGTTGAAGATATTGATGATGCGTGAGTACAAGTCCAACCTTGGTCGACAACGTGCTTGCAAAGGATGTAGAAGGGAAGCAAGGTATATAGGCGAGCGAGCGACACGAGAGAAAAGGGCGTTGAATCACAGCTCTACCACGCGCAAGCCGCGTTCTAGATGTACAGAGCATACGACCCAATCACGGGTCTATGGTCGCTCCTACCTTCCAGTCTCCGCATGCCCTTGTCGTCCAAAGTATCATACTTGAGACATACGACGTCACCTCGTCTCGGCAGCGGAGGTGCAGGCGGGAAAACTCCGGTGGCAGGTGGACTGGGTGGAGGCGCGCCCTGATGGGCGCCGTCGCGATAAAGAAAGGGGAGGAGCCACCGGAACATGGGTGTCGGATTTGAAGGCGTCGTACTCGCCGGTCCCGCAATATCGAGGGCGTTTGACGGACTTTCCGTTGGTGAATCGAGAACGGTGGAGGTATCGCCGTTGGGCATGGCGTGCACAACGGTGGAGATGGTATTCGCATGACGCATCGGCACTCCGCCGCCTGACGGCAGTGGTGAGGTCGGAGGTCGCGTGGCAGACGGCTCGAGCGACATTACGCGCGTCAGCGAAGCGCGCCGCTCGTCCGAGGCTCGTCGGAGGTTATCCACAGACCGTGTCTGCGTCAAGGGACGCAGCGGGCGCGCTTTCGACGACGTCGGGGACGGGAGTTGAGGCGCAGCAGAGACGCGCTTATCGAAAGGAGGTGTCTGGACCAAGACGTCTGCCGTCTGCCCGCTGCGTGAAGTCGGCGTCGTTTGCAGCGGGATGTCCGGGTGATTCATCGACCACGTGGAGTCCCGCCGAGAGCGCAAAGACGACGGCCGGAACGCGTTGAATATCTGGCCCATCTTCGCGCGCAGCGGCATGAACCTTGTCGGATCGGTATCGTCCACGTCTTGCTGGGGCTCCGGCGCGATTGTCGACTTCCAGAGGATACGATCGCACCTGCAGAGACGACATCAGCTCCTGCGCACACGCCTTCGTGCACGGGCGTACTGACCAACTGGGTACTCGCTGCTTATGCGACGAATCGTAAACCCCCTTATCCTCGTCCTCCAAGTCAACGTTGTTCTCGCTGAGGGCGAGATGTTTGTGAGGGCGCGCGTGTGCAGCATCCGAAAGCGCCGCTTGGAACTCCTTCGCCCTCTTCGATTTAGACCGCCTCGGGTCCGCAGGGTCCACCGGTGTCTGGGGCATCGAGACGTCCTCGGCCACCACAGCACCGTTTGGGTGGCTCCCTCGCCTAAGAGGAGCCTGCGACTTGCCCGAATGCCAGCTCTGCCTCCACCTCGACCGCTTGCCCGCAGGCGAGTACGGGTTCGGGCTGCTGGGCGAGAAGAGGGCGACCCACTTCTCCTTGGCCTTGTGCGCGGCTGTCGTGGTCCACACCTTGTGGACCAGGTTCGACGCGCTCGCGCTCGCTGGAGGAGACTGAGAAGCATAGCCGGCAGAGGACGGTTCGCGCTCGTCCTCGTTCTCATTATCATCCTCCGGCTCCGGGTCGGCCGTTCGTCGCGAGCGCGCAGACGTCCACGCCGACGATGCCAACGAGACTGCGTCTGGGTCAGCGTCATCCTCGCAGTCCTCGTCGTGCTGCTGAGAGACGCGATCTGCTCGGTCTTCAAGGGCGGCTGTGTGCTCGTGCTCGTGCTCGGCGACCTCTGACAGCATGTTGTCGTCCGGGGACGCTGCTATGAGTGTTATTGGTGGGCGCCTGAAGGACTTGTGCCGAGAGCGCTTGCCCAGAGTACGCAAGACGTCGTACTTGAACGTAGGCGGGAAACGGATGGGGGCTTCGTTGAAGCCTCTGAAGGAGTCACTATTTGCCATTACCTCGCGGAGCTGGTCGAACTCAAGGGCCTGTTCGTACTCTAGATGTACATATCGCGTGAGCATTGGCAGTTGACTGCAATGAACAGTCGCGAACCTTTGCGCGAGATGAGCCAGTCGGCATGTAAACGAGTGATGTCGAGCCTGAAGTTGAGGTCGCCGAATAAGAAGGACACGTCGAATCTGTCGGTGATATCTTCGGCCAAGAAACGCGGGTCGCTCGGCGAGAGGTAGTCTTCCACTGCGAGCTCAGCCTAGCACCGTCTGGTCAGACAAAAGACTACTGGAAGCTTGACGGAGTAACAAACCTTGATCTTGGCCAAGTCTGCTAATCGCTGGTGTACCCTGCCCTCGTGAGCTACAGCGAATTCAGCGAACAGCGGTTTGGAACAATGAGAGAAGACGTGCCAGCTAGATGTGCGTTGATGAAGAGGAAGGTAGTGCCATCTAGATTCACGCTGACGCCAACGCCGCCCTTGTTCCCCACTCGACCTCCGATGAGTCCGGCGGTGACGGCCGACTTGGATGTGCCTGAAGGCATAGCGTCAGAAAGTGGACGGATGCCACTTGCATGTGACTGACCTCGAACAAAGGGCCGTGCCTCACGGTGTATGAAAACAGCCAAGTAGAGGCCCATCATGCGTTCCTTGATGAGGAGCTCATATGGGCCTGTTCGTTGGGACTCGGTTTGAGTGCGTAGGTTTGGATCGGAAGCGCTGGATGCCAAGGGACCTAAGACGGTGGGATGACAGTACCAGTTCTCGAGGATAGAGGACCAACTAGAAGGGGGGTGATGATGCTCGTGGGTCTTGTCTACGGAGGGGGAAAGGAGGTCGGCCTCTGCGCTCTTGCGGAGGGCGGGATCGTCGGGTTCAGGGAGGAGGGAATGCCTGGAGCGAGAGTTGTCCTTGCCATTGAGCTTGAAGCCAGCGCCGAGAGCCATGGGAATCCCTGGGATTATAGAGAAGTTGGGGATGAGCACGAGCGCACGAGGTGTAGATGGAGTTGGGTACCGGAGGCGGAGGGACATTCCTGGCCGGCACTGATGCGTGAAGTCAGAGCAGGGTTGCAGCGATGGGTGAGATCACTCACACGACGACGATATGGTAGGGATGTTCAGGAGAAGCAGGAAAGGCGGGAAGGGTGGGGGGAGCATCGGGATTGGGAGAGGATGGGTTGAACGGCGGGAGAGAGCCAAGGAGCTCTTCACAATCACCCTGGAAGGCGGGATAAGGAGAGGAGAAGGGAATGGGTAGATGTGGCGCACCTTGGGGATGGAGTCGTGCATGTTCCATGTTAGGATACGGACTTTGATGAACTTTGGGAGGGGTAAAGGGGGATGAGGAGGGACGGGCGTGGAGTCGGAGGGATGAGGGGACGCAGTTGTTGGTGGATGAGGAGAGGAGGGGAAGAGGGCCTGGAGACGTGCGAGGACATTGGAGTGTGCTGGTAGAAAACGGATTGTAAGTGCGCATGTCTGGGAGTGGAATGAAAAGAGAGACTCGCCTGAACGGGGAGGACGGGAAGGATCCTTGGGAAAGTCCGGGGGAGGTAGAGAGGAGCGGAAAGCGGGGATGTGGATGGGGGGAGGGGAGTTAATTGGAGGAAGGATGGGCTGGGAGGAAACCATGTTCGTGGGTGGTCGTGAGCATCAAGACAGACAACGAGAGTGGGCGAGAGCACGGCCGACGCAGACGACTGGACACTACAGTATACGACGACGACGACAACGACAACGACGACAACGACAACGACAACGACAACGACGACGACGACGACGACGACGACCAGATGAGTAGCAGTGAGCGCTGGGCGCTGAGGCCTCCGGACCCGAGAGCGTGACTGACCGCTGCCGCCACGCGACTCGCAGTGGCCACAGACGCGACTCGGACTGCACTCTCCCTCAGCCTGCCCCTGCACGCGTCCTCCTCCCCACCCCGCCCTTCAATCCTCCCAACACCGCTCTCTCCTCGTCTTGTGCTACGAACTGCTCGTCTTTCATGCCATTGCCCCAATAAACTCCCGCGCCCACCATGAACGTCAACCAGCTGCAGCCCCCGCCATCCTCTCAGCTGCAGAGGTTCTCCAAGCAAGCCTCAGACAAGCATGCCGACGTACGTCTTCTCACTTCCCACTCTCATCATTCTTTCTGACCCCGCGCGATACCCGCCCACAGTTTCTCGCTCTCAAGTTGCTCAACAGACGAACCCGTCTCCGCCTCTCACCAGAGCCCTTACAGCTCGACGACCTTCCCCAAAGAGCCCGCCTCTTCGCCGTCGCGAATACCAAGCGTTCCTTTGCCGCCGTAGTCCGTGCCTCAGACGGCTCTTACGGTATGTCCCCGAGCCCATGTGTATCCGCCCATCCTTCTCAATACCTTTCTAGCCTTGTCTCTTTCCCCTCTCACCGACCTCCGTTCTACCCTCACTTCGGGCCGCTCTGATAGCGGACCTCTTCTCCTCAATCCCAACACGACAATTCCTCTTCAACCCGGCACTCCCCACATACTCGTCCTCACACGCGACGACTCCCGCATCCTTGTCGCTTTCACAAACGGTTCCATCTGCGTGCACGACTGGTCAAACCCTGCCCCGCTCTTCACTTTTTCTTCCCCTACCGGGAAGCCTGTCAGAGACCTTTTCCCTAGCACGGGTGACTCGGAAATCGTAGCGGTGCTGCGGCAACCGGGAGACGGGGTCACAGTCGAACTTCTCGATGTCCACAAAATGGTCTCGACGGGCGGATGGAGTGCGGGTGGGTCTCCAGAGACCAATGCAACCTCAGGTGAGCCCTGCTAGCCGCTTCCCGTCTAAACTGCACTACGTGCTCATTTCCCGTCCAGTGTCATGGTCTCCCAAGGGCAAGCAGGTTGCTATTGGTCTCGAGAGCGGTGACATCATTACTTTCAGTCCCTCCGACACCTCCGCCGTGAAGAGTGTTGTCCCTCGACCGCCCTCTGTAGAGGGACAGACTCTCATCTCAATTCAATGGCTTTCCAACACCGAATTCCATGGAATATATGCTCCTGCAGGGCCCCTCGCTCCAGACAGCGAGCAGACCCACTTCATCCTGACGCTGGAGGCCAAGGCCAGCCTCGTCGGAGATATCAAACTCATCACACCCTACCTTCCCTTTCCAGGTCTCCGACCGCCAGGCTCGTTCATCGTGACTCTGAAGAACTGGGAACCTTCCCGCCTTCTGCTCTTCGTCGGCGACAGCACCTCGTCTGATATCGGCCTCATTGGCAGTCTTGCCAGCGCCTCATCTTCCGCCGACTCGTGGTACAACTTCACTCTCGAGGAAGAGTCCACTCCCTCTGTTCCTCTAGACGCAGACCTGAATGAGACCGTCTTGCTCGGACTGGATCTAGACGTGACCAACACCGAGACGTTCAGATACACCGGAGTATCAGGGGAGGCCACGGACGTACCCCCTCCGCCAATCATGTATCTCTACGCGAGCGACGGCACGCTTCAGGGCTGGCACATCATCCAAACGCAAGGCGTCGCCTACCCAGACATGGCATCCGCCGTCACCCCCGTCTCTTCCTCTTCCCCCGTCGCTGCTGCCACCCCAACTGCTCAGACCAGTGCCTTCGGGGCTCCTCAAACTGCATCGGCAACGTCTTCGACACCACCTGCGGCAAGCGCCTTCGGATCGGTCTCTCCGCAAGACGCTACCGCTGCCCCCAGTTCTGGTGGTGGCTTCGGATTCAGTGCGTTCTCCGGCGCCCCCTCTGCCTTTGGGAGCACATCCTTCGGTTTCGGCCAGCAACCACAGCAGCAAGAGCCCAAGGCCCCGTCCCCTCTCCAAGCACCTCCTCTTTCCGCGCCGACTATGTCCGTCGAGATGACGTCGGCCACCGACGACTCAATGGCATCTGAAACGGACTCCGGCTTTGGCGGTCTGTCACTAGGGGGTGGAGGTGGAGGTGGGGGTGAGTCAAGTTCTAGTGGCACGAACTCGATGTTCGGGTCGTTCGGCACCAACGCTCAGCAGCCTACCAATTCTGGCTTCGAAGCCGGGTCTTCTGCAAACTCAACATTTGCCACATTCGGCTCGGGTCCCATCAAACCCGCCACCGGCTTTGGAGCTTTCACCAGCAGTGGGTCATCCGCGTTCGGCAGCTCGTCGGGCGGCTTCAACGGAGGTGCATTCGGCTCGGGCAGCGGGGCGTTCGGCAGCGGTGCCTCCAGCACGAGCTCTGGGGCGTTCGGATCAGCGCAGCCCGCAACGGCGGAGAACAAGCCGGCCTCCGCGTTCGGGCAATCTGGTTTCGGCGCTGCCGCCGCAGGTGCGAAGCCCGCTTTTGGCCAGTCTTCGTTCGGGCAGTCGGGCTTCGGACAGCCATCCTTTGGCCAGCCGTCTGCGTTCGGGAAGCCTGCGTTTGGAACATCTTCGTTCGGTGCGTCGACGAGTCCTGCGAAGCCCGCAACGACGAGCGCGTTTGGGAGCACCGGGAGCTCGGGTGGATTTGCGGCCTTCGCGTCCCAGGGAACCAGCACGTTCGGAGCTGTAGCGCAGAAGGCCGCCGACTCGAAGCCGGCGTGGGCTGCTGCCACGTCCGAGAAGCCCCAAGAGAGCACCAGCACGTCAGGTGCGTTCGGCGGGAGTGGCGCATTCGGTGGTAGCAGCGGAACGAGCGCCTTCTCGTCTGCCAAGTCGACAGAGACCCCTTCTACGACATCTACCCCATCCGGTGGTGCGTTTGCCGGCCTAGGGCAGTCCAGTCAGTCTACAACAGGTGGTAGCGTGTTCGGCAAGACGACGTTCGGGCAATCTTCCTTCGGCCAACCAGCGTTCGGTCAGTCCTCGTCTGCACAGGCCGGTGCACCATCCACGCCTTCCACGAACCCAGCACCGACGAGTGCATTCGGGAGCGGAGGTGGGTTTGCCAGCTTTGCGAGCGCGGGACCGAGCGCGTTCGGGGCCGCCGCTTCTCAGTCTAGCGATACGAAGCCCCTCTGGGCGACTTCAGGCGCAGATGCGAAGACTCCCACAGAGCAACCAAAGTCCGCATTCGGGTTTGGGTCCACTACACCCAGTGCATTTGGTGGTGCAGAACAGGCCGTTAAGTCTCCCGCTGTCTCCACTGCTGAAAGTGCGACGCCTGCTTCGTCCCCGGAGAAACCTACGCCTCCCGTCTCAACTCCGCCAGCGACCCCTCCAGCCAAGACCGAGCCAAAGCCGGAGCCAACTACGACGCCTGCTGCCACGACAACACCTACGTCAACTACTCCCGCCGCGGGGGGCGCATTCGGCGGAGGCGCGTTTGGTGGACTCAAGACGTCGGGAACGGGCTTCAGCAGCCTTCGACCTGGCTTCGGCGCATTCGGTGCAAGTACCACACCGCCATCCTCTTCGCCCTTCTTTCAGAAGCCTGGTGCGGCTTCGGTCACCCCGACGCCCGTCTTCGGATCCTCGTCTTTCGGCACGTCGACGACCACTCCTCCTAGCAAGGACACTCCTCCCGGTGTACCCAAGTTCGGCGCGCCCTCCTTCGGTGCCGCCTCCTTTGGAGCTCCCTCGCTCACCTCCACCGGGTTCTTCGGCAAGCCGGCTGCAAGTACCCCGCCCACTGCAACAACTCCGGAGACGCCGACGAATGCTGCGGCGAAAAGTGCTTTCAGCGCGTTCAGTGGAGGCACTAGTCCGTTCAGTGCCGCTGCGTCCGGTTCCTCTGGGAAGAGCTTCGGAGATCTCTTACGTCAGAAGGAGGGAGAGGACAAGCCTGAAAGTGGAAAGAAAGAGGAGAAGAAGCCGGCAGGTTTCAGTCGGACTGCAGACGAGTGGAAGAAACCTGTATCAGTATTTGCTCAGCTCAAGGAGGCTGCTGTAGAAAAAGGTCTGCCCCACCGTACATCTGGTCGTCCAATGACATGACTGATTCTGGATCAACGCGTCTAGGCAAGGATGTTGGGGACGAGGACGCGGAAGGTGACGCAGACGAGGGAGTTGGGGACACTTCCTTCCGTTCTCAGGACGACGACAGTGATGGAGGCGAGGATGTCCTCGATGAATTTCTCAAGTCAGACGAAGAAGAGGAGGAGGAAGAGAAGGCAGAAGATGAAGAGGACAGCCTGCCTGGTGAAGAGGATGAGGAGGACGCGGAGCAGATCGAGCAGCCAGCCGCCACCTCCCGGTCTCCCTCGGGGTCCCCTACTGCCAAGCCTCCGGCTCCCAAGACGGCGTCCGTCTTCAGCATCTCATTCTCACCTGCAAGCCCAACAAAGCCTGAGAAGGATGAAGAGCCTTCCAAGTCGGCCTTCGCTCGCTCTGGCAGTACGACCCCTCCGGGGTCTCCCGCTCAAGGAGAACGCCCGTCTGCGTTGGCCGCGGGAGATGCCAAAGTTTCTGCTGTCCCTATGAGCCGTGCCGCATCTGCACCGCCCGTGCCCGGGTCAACTACGGGTCTACTTGGCATTGGTCGACCCTCTACGCGTCCTGCCAGGAGTTCTCCACTGGCCAGCCGTCCCATAAGTGGAGATGACGACGACGACGAGGAACCTCCTCACTCGCCGGTGGAGGCGAAAAAGGCCCGTTCCGCATCGCCTGTCCCCTCTATTGCAGCACGAGAAACGTCCAGACCCAAGACCCCGCCTGTGTTATTCGGCAACGCTCCCGCCCCTCCCAAGCCAGCTCCGTTCACGCTCACCCCTGCCGCCTCGCCGCCCATAAAAGCGCTGTCACCTGATGCAGGAAAGGTCCCGGAAGCCGGAGTTCCGACGCCGTCGAAGACTCCCCTCGTAGGGGCAAGCACTCCTGGTGGCGGGATCTTCTCTAAGCCTTCAGTGTTCTCGACCACCCCGACATCCCAGGGTAGTTTCTTTGCACAGAAGCCGCTTGGATCCCCCGTGCCTTCTCCTGTAACACCTGTTGTACCCCCTGCAACATCTCCAGCTCAGACCCCGTCCTTGGGCCAGAAGCCTTCAGCTCCGACACCAGGTAGTATATTCTCCTCGCCATTCGCGAAACCCACGTCGGCAGCTCCAACGCATCCCGCTCCGGTTGTGGCATCTGGTTTGTCAGCGTTCAACATCGGAGCCTCTACGCTACCGCAGAGCTCCAAGCCAGTTGGTTGGCCCCCCGCTCCCGCAGCACCCATCATCAACCCAGCCCCCATTCCCGCCGCAGCCCGTCCTGCAAGCCCTGCACAAGCTATAGCTGTGGAATTTTCTAATCTGCAGGCCGCGTTGACTAAAGAACTTGAAGATGTACGTGGTTCCCTCTTCAAATCACCAGGCTTCAGATTACTAAGTGTACGCTTGGATAGCTTAAGGCACTCGCCGCACAGACATCACAGCGAACCGCGCATTTGCAAAGGCCGAGTGGAAGCACCAAGACCGCGGCCGATCTGAATGAGCCAACGAAGTGGTTTATGAGCGACTTGACACAATTCAAGCACATTATGAAGGAAGTCGAGCGCGGACTGGAGAAGTGGGAGAAGGAGAAGGCAGCATGCATCTCGCAATTGCGTGAGCTGGAGAGTGATCTGTTGAAGGGTGAACATCTACTCTGTATCAAATCGGCGCATACTGACGAGTCCGTTGAAGGGAGCACCAGGAAGGAGGAAATCGAACGCTTCAGCAAGGCTTCAAAGGATACCGAGTTCGCGCGTATGTTGAAGCAGAGAATGCTGAGTCCCGATCACCTTGAGACCCAGGCGCAACTCAGGAGAGACGTTCGGGTGAGTAATTCTGGCTGATAATGGGAAGCATGCACTCATCGTCCTTTCAGACCATCCGTAGTCGCATTCAACAGTTGGAAGAGTACGTCCAGGCGTCCAAGAAGAAGCTCAACAGCTTAAAGAATGGGAGGCCGTCGCTCAAGTACGCTTGCTGCTGCTTCGACGGTCTAACTAAGACTGACTGACCTCCGCTATGTCGTTAGGCCTCCCTCATTGGACACGATAAATCGGACGTATCGCAACATCGATGCTGCCATTGACCAAGAGGAAGACGACTTGGCCAGCCTTGCGGAGCGCGTTGCCCAGCTCGAACTCTCCTCAAAAGCTGCGCCTCTGCTCTCCTTCTCTGCCTCTACTCGCGATCGTCGACTTCCTGACCGCGGCGCCCAGCGTGTCGGACGAGAAGTCACCCCCAACATCGCCGCTTCAACCGCAGCAGCTCTCAACGCAGAGAGAAGCGCGCAGAAGCTGAAGAAGGCGCTGCTGAGCGCACGCAAAGAGCCGCTCCTCAACACCAAAGCTGTTGATGCAGTCCCGCGGGAACGAGAACTCGAGGCTCGGAAAGCCCTTCTCGAGTCTGGGTCGGGTCTTAGCCTCGGCGCGGCGTTCAGCGCTGGGCTCAACGGCGGCGTCGTACCCAGTACACCGTCATATGCAGCTTCGCCTGGGTGGTCACTGCCTCCGTTCACCCTGGACTCGAACCCTACGACGGGCCTGGGCGGTGGAAGGAATAGAGGACCACGCGAGAAGCAGCACGCGAAGCCGATTCAGTTGCATCAGGGCGCGAAGCCTGCACTCCCACCACCTCCCGCGGGCTTCAGCTGGGGACCCGTGCCCATCATACAGCCGAAGACCACCATTTCGATATTCGCTGGCATTGGCGATGGCAGGGGAAAGGCGAAGGATGAGAAGGGGCTCGGTGACTCCTGGGTTGCGGATGGATTCGAAAAGTGATGTCAGACAAAGGGTCCTCTTGAATACCTTCTCACTGCATGCACATTCGCCGAATCAACTGTTATGTATCATCATATGAATCGTGTAGGCTACAGGGATGACTCAAAATCTGCACGAATACCATGTTTTCTTGATATTCACCAGACTTCAGCTAGACTTCCCATGTTCTTTCGGAGCGCCTTGTTTCACCGCAGCACTAGCAGCGGTATCCTCCGGCGCATCTTCAAACTGCTCAGGGTCCGTTTTCTGCTCGAACGGGTTGTAGATGATGCTCTCCAAATGAGCAAGGGCGGCCTGCAATCAAAAGTAAAGATGGAAAGAGAGGTTGGCGAAGCGACGTCTAGTATGGGTTGAAGCGGTTATTATTGAGGAAATCACCGCGCACTTTGCCGACTTCACTGAGCTCCTGGTCGACGTTACCGTTGAAGGTATCAAACTCGCCGGGGTCGACGAACGCGTCGTCGTCGTCATCCATCTCGTCTTCGTCATTGGGATCGGGATGGAGGGATGCGCAAAAGGATAGACTCTCAAAGATGGGCTCGACTTGAGATACTATGAGTGAAAAGAACTTATTAGAATGAGAATACAATGACTTACGCGAAGACAAGTTTTTGGGGATGATGACAAGTTCGCGCATGCTAGACGCGTCTTCATCCTCATCTGCTGGTGCATCGGCCTCTGCAGGTTCGTCCAGTTGGCAGTAGATGGAGGGACCGGCCTCTGCACGTGAGATGGCGTGGAGAGTGATGGAGGGATAGTCGACTTGGAAGCCGCGTCCTGTAGACGACAAGAAGACGAGGGCACTGAGGTATGTATGAGCGGAAGAGGACGGGTGATAAAGGAAGGAACGCACCTTTCGATCACGTAGAGTGCACCATTAGCCCCATCCTCGCTGGAAAATCCTGGGAGAGGTGGATCGAGCGTTACCGAAACATTTTCCTCCTTGTGGCGGAGAACAGGAGGGATGTCGGCAAAGGACGCAGGGGTGGAGGCACTGATGTTTTTGTGCTCCTCTGGGGATATGTACGTGGGGAGAGAAGTGACGAGGTCGATGGCCATGTTGTATATTCTGTAGTGGAGGGAGAGCAAGGATAGGACGCGGAGGCTTACCAGGACGCGACTGTCTGAGGATGCAGATGCTGCAGCAGCCGATCTCGATCTCGGTCGATGATCAGTAGCGCCCAGCACAGCTCTCTCCCAGCCGAGACTCGCTCCGGTCAGTGCCGAAAGCCCACTCATCCGAGGCCAACGGCCGCCGTCTCTCGTCCTCTTACCATTCACTCGACAACGCTCTCCGCCATGCCCGTTACGACGACGCCTTCTGACCCTCAAGCTGCTGCTCTCCTTGCTCATGTCTTGCAGCAGACCCAATCGAACATCAACTTCCTTGCATCTCAGAACTACATCTCCCATGCCGAGGCCTCCGACCTCATCAGCCGTCTCACTCAAGGGGCCGACCACGATTCCTTACTATCTAGCATGAACAACTTGGCTGTTGGTCCTGCTCGTGCTCCTCCGGAGCCCGCCCGTCGTTCCATCCCACCACCGCCCCCAAGGAATCACGTCCAGAAGGCCCGTGCCTTGTGGGCCTACAACGAGGACGGCCGGGTGCGTATCCCGGCTTACATTCCTCTGATGACCTTCTCCTTGCGCTTTCCCCGCGCGCTTCGTGTCCCCCTCAAGTCACCATTTGCACCATGTAATCGTAATAATACTCATCTTCCGCCTTGTCTTGCACACAGGAACCCAATGACCTCTCCTTCTCCCAAGGAGAGATCATCGAGATCGTGGACGAAACAAACGCCGACTGGTGGACTGGCAAAGTCCGCGGCAAGCAAGGCCTCTTTCCGTCCAACCACGTCGAGAAGATTCCGTCAGGCCCCTCTACCTCCCCCGCCCCTCCTGTGTCCATGCCCCCCATGCCCTCCGCACCTTCATACTACGCCCCGCCGCCTCCGGGGCCGCCCCAGCCGTACTACCAAGGCCCTGCGCCCGACTACAATAACGAGAAGACGTCCATGTACCAGCCGGCCTACGCGCCCCCTGCACCGGTCCAGGCTCCCCAGCCGCCGGTCCAGCAGGTTGTCGTCCAGCAGGAGCCTCCCAAGAAGAGCAAGTTCGGCAAGCTGGGCAATACGATGGCCACGTCGGCTGCAGGTGGTGTCGGCTTCGGTGCTGGTGAGTTCCATATACGATCGCGACATGGGTGTGCAAGCTCACATACGCTTGTCTATTCTAGGTGCCGCTATCGGCAGTGGCATCGTCAACGCCATCTTCTGAGGTGCTGCGTTAGACCGCATTCTAATGTCCGTAGCTCTGACCTTCGTCTTGTGCGCTTTCGATCGGACTGTTGCTGGTATTGTATGTGGCGCTGTCTGTAACATGGAATGTGGACGGATATATGACTCGGCTTGACCTCTAACATTTTCACCATGTACAGACATATCGATACAATAGATGTGAAACTCCTTCCGCGACGCTGTCTCTCTCACCAGACGACGATGTTGCATCAGCTGACTTCGTCTTCTTTTGTTACCGGGATTCCAAATAGTTCCTTGACGTATTCGACCGTGGTAGGATCTCCGGTATTCTGCGAATTCTGGTCATACAGAGTAGCAACGAAGTGATGTTGGGTATACTGACCTTCGTAATTTCGTCACTAATCTTAACAGTTGGTTTGCCATACACTGACGAGAGCTTGATGACCATGTTCAAAGCCTTGCTCTTCTCTGAACCACCGCTCGACTTCTTCTTGAAGTCATTCGACAGCGACGTCCCGATGCCAAAGGCACCTGTAATATGAGACACGTGTAAGCACGACAATCATTCCTAACAAAGATTCTAAACGAACACTTGAAGCCCAACTCATCACATTGCTTCTTCAGCTGCAATGCTTTATCCACGTTAAGCGCATCGGAGTAGATTATGATCTTCTTGGTGTGGTCTACGCCGAGTTGTTGGTATATCTCCTTCGCACGCGGCGCGTAGACGAAAGGATCCCCAGAGTCTTGGCGCAGGCCTGTCCAGTGTTCGGCGAAATGTTTGTTGGCCAGGAAGTCCTGAGGCGATTCAGTTCGGTGATAGTCCGCGAAAGGGGGTACAAGCGATCTTACCTTGTAGAATGCTTCGGTGGAGAACGTGTCCGTAAGCGCGATAAGAAGTGCGTTGGGATATGTCTTCTCCCATAGCTCGAGTGCTGTGCCGTTAGCATGTTCATACCCCTTCTGCGCACCCACCTGTACCAGGACATGTCAGGCATTGGTGAAAGGGTGTCAGTCTTCCCGTCAGCAGCAAAGCCGCAACTCAACGTACACCCATAAACCATTCGCTACGAACCAAATGATGAGGAGGCTATGGGGGCTGCAGACGACGTGTAATCTCACTGGGCAATAGTCCCAACGGGATTGACGTTGAACTTCATGGCGAAGAATACCTGCGGTCAGGAATTGAGCATCATCGATCGTGGAAATATACTGGGGATCAATTACGTTGCTAGTTCCGTTGACCTTTCCCCTTCCTGGATGGTCGCGCTCCGCGCGAAGGATGCCCTGCAAGACAAGCTCCTGCGTGCGAGCGGAACGTCTTCTCCGAGTACCGAACTCGTTGAATACGCAGTCAGCCTGGAGCAGCACCGTCGCCTTCTGGTAGGCAGCATCTGTTCGCATGTCGTCAAGGCTGCTCTAGCAAAATTTCTAGTGACACCTACCCTCTTGCCCCTCGTAATCCCAGTCCGTGTCAACCGTTGTGAAGTAGATTTCGCTCAGACAGGCCATGAGCGGGACCTCCCAGAGGATGGTTTCTTGCCATGGGCCCACTGCCTCGATCTGAATCCTGCCGCGCGCACTCAGATCGCCTCGTTCATTCCGTTCCTTGTCTTCCGGAATGGGTTCGAAGCGCAGACGCAGCTGATCGGGGTTGAAACGGTACGCTTCCAGGTAGTCTAGGTACGACGTTTCGAAGTAAGGGCAAGCCTTCTCCAACCACGCGCGCTCTTCCTTCGTGAGCTTGAGCTTGTCGAACTCTGTCACGGATAGAATTGAACGCGGTAGATGAGACAGTGGTAAAGGCACACGACGCGGTTCACTCACGGGCCGCAGAGCGCCTGAAGCGGTCGAAACATTCGCGAGTGAAGTACACGTCCTTGTCGCGGTGAGTGAACCTGTATGTGCCTTCGACGCCGGGGAAATGTTGCAACACCGCTTGCTGCATTGTAAACTAGATCGTCCGTAGCCGTGGGTCCCGTCAGTGATCGTCATCGGAGCAGCCTGCCGAAGTCGCAGATTCGAGTGAGAAGGCGTACTTTGTATAGATCGGTGTCCAGTAGGGACAACGGGGTCACCGTGTGATCCTTATGCTCCATTTTTCCGGTCTCGGCTTGCAGCAGTCCGTAATGGCGGTATGAGGAGAGAGGGATCCTAGTATTCTACTATCGGTGGACGATGATATGAGTACTTTTCAGCGCTTCAGGGCATCCGAACGCTGCGATAACGTCATCAAACCCTAACCTAGCCCTCCTGCGCGGCGAGATCCCCGATCTCCTGAGCGAACTCTGTTCCATCATCCCAATTTCATCCAGTCGGTGGCTGAACGTCTCTCCTTCCTTCCTTTCCCCACATCCACCATGGTGAGCTGATTGACCATCCTTATCACTAGCGTTGGGCTCAAAACAGCGCAGAGCTCACGAATAGAGATCCTGAACGACGGAGGATATCGCTCCGATGGCCGCAAACAATACGAACTTCGCGACATTACCATAGACCTAACCCAACAGGGCACCGCAGATGGCTCCGCCCAGCTCACTCATGGGCTCACGCAAGTACTCGTCACCGTCTTCGGACCCCGGGAAGCCAAAATGCGCTCGCAAACATTGCACGACCGTGCTGTCTTGAACGTCGAGATGAGTGTGGCGCCGTTCAGCACCGGCGAACGTCGAAAACGGTCAAGAGCAGACAGGTGAGTGCGGTGTTCAAACCCCTTCAGGATTCCTGCCAATAGCATCGTGCGACGCGATAACATATGACAAGCATATAGGCGAATTCTCGAAATGGCAGCTATGATCGCTTCCACCTTCGAACCCGTCGTACAAACGAACCTCTATCCCCGCTCCCAGATTGACATCTACGTACATGTCCTCCAGCAAGATGGCTCTCTGCTCCCCGCGTGTATCAACGCGACCACCCTGGCTCTCGTCACTGCAGGTGTCCCTCTACTCGATTTTGTCTGCGCGGTCACTGGCGGCGTACACTCGACATCACCCCTTCTGGACCTGACGACTCTCGAGGAGAACGATGTCCCACATATGACGGTCGCAGTCATGCCTCGGACACGAAAAGTAACCCTTGTTACAATGGAGACGCGTCTGCACGTCGAACGGTTTCGAGAGCTATTCGAGCTTGCATGCGAGGCAGGACAGACAATTCACAGGGAGATGAAGTATGCTGTCAAGGACCGTACCGTCGCGCTCGTCAACGCAATGGACGCCGGTTCAAAAGGTGGCGCAGCGGACGACCATGACAGAGATGTAGTGATGGACGACAGAATATGACTTCGTTTTCCTCCTTGTCAACCCTTTGCGTTGGCTGTCTCACGTAGCGCGCGCACAAACGTCTAGGTCGGTCAATCCCGCTTGGCTTCGATTCTCCTGAAACATGCTAGCCACTTCTCTCCCTGGTTCCTCTCCACCTTCTTGCCCTCTTCTGTGCTATTGTACACTGCATCTACGATGGGGCCCTTGCCCTCGTCCCTCAACTCCTGCTCGGTGACTGGCTCGAAAAGAGGGAACTGCTCCAGATGCGTGCGCATCCAGTCATGCAGGTCCCTAACGTCCGTGATGGTATACACGATGCCGCCCGGCTTCAGGATATATGCATACTCAGCCAACAAGGTGGGCGAGATAATCCTCGCTTTATGTTTCCTTGCTTTAAAGTGGGGGTCGGGGAAGAGGAAGAAGAGGGCGGAGAGGGAGTGCTTCGGAAAGTAATTGGGCATGAACTTCATGGAGTTTGCGCGGACGATGGAGACGTTTTGGTATGGGCCTGGTGTGTCGTCGGCCGAAGGTTGAGGGGGTGCGGAGGTAGAACGTAGTGCGACAATCCTGTCGTGGACATACTGGGAGACTTGAACGCGGATCTCCATGCCTGGGTGGACGGGACGGAAATCAGACGGCTGTTCACGCGGACGGGCAACGATGGGGAGAAGCATATGACATTTCGCAGTGCGATGATACATGGAGCACGAGTACGTGTGGACAGCGCTTGGTAACACGAGACGCGTGATAGGGTATGGAAAGGGCAAAAGAGGACTGACCGAGCATGAGCGTATTGGGGAAGAGAGGAGCGAGGGCGATAAGTAGCCCTCCGAAGCCGCAGCCGACATCTGCGAACTCGGGTGTTTTTCCAGAGCCGGCGAAGGCAGGATAGTGTGCGTCCCAGTCGAACTGGTCAGGAGAGGGCGGATAACTTAAAGCGTGGTCGGAGAAGGGGTTGGCGTGGGCGCGCTGCCTGTAGTGCCGTTTCTGCAAGAGGCGATTGGGTGAGCGTCATGTCGGGCGGTGGGCGAGAATGGTGCGACGTACTTGTGGGAGGACATCGTTCTGGACCTGCTTGGGGACGGCGGGGTCGTTGTCAGACCGCTTTCTCTTTGGCATCGTGCGCCGGAAGATGGTGGACGGAGGGAGGAGGAAACACAGTCGGATCGGGGTCGGGACGGCCGGCTGGAAAGACGGCTGCTCATTGGCAGGAGACTGCCGATGCCACGTCACGTGTCTCGCGCGACAGTGAGCTCATATGGGCGACCGCCAGCGCGCCCTCTTTCTTTTCCTCATCCACTGCCCCCTCCCGTCGCTGTCCGCCATGTCCTCCGCTCTTCGTTCTGCCATCCAGCAGGTATGTCCCTCCCGCTGCTCGACAAATCACGCACATTGCTGATCACCGTCGTACCCTCCAGTCACGTCGCTCCGCCTTCGCGCGGTCGGCCCGCTTCGCCTCCACCTCGGCCAAGGCACCTACTCTCAAGGAGCGTCTTGCCGAGCTCATTCCCGCTGAGATCGAGAATGTACGCACGTTAAGGCCCACGCCATTCACAAGTTTCCTCACCCTCTTCTCTCCTAACAGGTGAAGGCGACGCGTGCGGCGCACGGCAAGAAGTCCTTCGGCCCCGTCCTCGTCGACCAGCTCTACGGGTTTGTATCACCATCGCGTCTTCTCTCGGCCCCTTCTCACTTCTCCTCACAGTGGTATGCGTGGTCTGCCCGCTCTTATCTGGGACGGCTCCGTCCTCGATGCTGGTACGTGTCTCGTTACCTTGCTCATGCCACACGTGCTCACTATATCGACACAGAGGAGGGTATTCGCTTCCGTGGCAAGTCTATTCCCGAGATCCAGGCGGCTCTCCCCAAGGCCCCCGGTGGGTCCGAGCCTCTCCCTGAGGGTCTTTTCTGGCTTCTCCTCACTGGCGAGGTCCCCACCCAGGAGCAGGTCGCCGCCCTCTCCAAGGACTGGGCTGCACGTGCCTCCATCCCCTCCTTCGTCGAGGAGATCCTCGACCGCTGCCCGCCCACGCTGCACCCCATGTCGCAGTTCTCGCTGGCGGTCACTGCTGTATGTTTTTGACGTCATACACTCCCTTGGTCACACAAAGTTTATTAACCCCGGCCCGGTTACCGTGTAGCTCAACCACGACTCGGCATTTGCCAAGGCATACCAGCAGGGCGTCTCCAAGAAGGAGTACTGGCAGCCCACATTCGAGGATGCCATGGACCTGTGAGTATTATGCTTTAGACAGGGATATCCTCCGCAGTACGTTCCTAATCGTGTAATGTAGCATCGCCAAGCTTCCTAACATCGCCGGTCGCATCTACCGCAACGTCTACGGCGGTGGCAAGCTTCCTGCGATCGATGCCGAGAAGGACTACTCTTACAACCTGGCTAACCTGCTTGGCTTTGCCGACAAGCCGGACTTCGTCGAGCTCTTGCGTCTTTACATCACCATCCACTCCGACCACGAGGGTGGCAATGTTTCCGCCCACACCGGCAAGCTCGTCGGCTCTGCCCTCTCTGACCCCTTCCTCGCTTTCGGTGCCTCCTTGAATGGTCTTGCTGGTCCCCTTCACGGTCTTGCCAACCAGGAGGTTCTGATCTGGCTCCGCAAGATGCAGTCCAAGATTGGCGAGAACGCGTCAGATGATGCTGTCCGCGAGTACGTCTGGTCCACGCTCAAGGGCGGGCAGGTCGTTCCTGGCTACGGCCACGCCGTCCTCCGCAAGACCGACCCTCGCTACACGGCGCAGCGCGAGTTCGCGCTCAAGCACCTGCCCAACGATTCGCTGTTCAAGCTCGTCAACCAGGTGTACAACATTGTTCCCAATGTCCTCCTCGAGGCTGGCAAGGCCAAGAATCCCTGGCCGAACGTCGATGCACACTCCGGTGTTCTCCTGACCTACTATGGTCTTGACCAGATGAACTTCTACACGGTTCTCTTCGGTGTCTCGCGCGCATTCGGTGTTGCCGCCCAACTCGTCTGGGATCGTGCTCTCGGTGCTCGTACGTGTCTTCTATGAACCCTAGTCGCGCTGCACTTCATGCTAACTATTTGCCCTTGCAGCTCTTGAGCGCCCCAAGTCGTATTCGACTGAGGCCATCAAGAAGATCTTCGAGAACAAGGCGGAGTAAAATTTGCCTCCATTGATGATAAAACCTCTCCTGATGAGGATGACGACGTGCATGATTGCGGGATCCTATCTGGCGAGCGTACTGTCCCTAGACTTCGTAGTGTAGAGCTTGATTCTGTTGAACAGTTTAGTGCTTACGTAATGCACATGCGTGTTTCTTGTATACTGTGTGAAGCGCGCGTGCATCGTCATTCGCTATTAAGCGTACAGTACCGGACGGCGGTTCCACGTCTTACGTTCACTTCTGACTCTCGTCTTCATCTCTTTGCTCAAATTGCTCTGTCGTTCTGAATCAACATGTCCGATGCGCGTGCTCTTCTTCGTGCGAAGCGACAAGAAGCCCGAATCAACCACCCATTAGCTGCATACACGTCTTCTGGACAACTGCGATGTATAGCATGCGACATGAACGTCAAGCACGCGTCCGCCTGGGAAGGCCACATCGGTAGCAAGTCCCACCGCACGAACGCTGCTCGATTACGGGAAGAGCGCGCTCGGGCGGCGCAGAGGGAGGAGGAGGAACGGGAGAGCCTGAAGCGGAAGGCGATGGAGGTCGACGAGGCAGACGAGGACGCGGAGGACGAGGATGCGTACATGTCGGGGTCCGACGCGAAGAAGCGGAGGGTAGAGAGCGAGGAGCCCTCGGCCGCACCCACCGCTGCTCTAGCGACAGCAGGGAAGACGAAACGAGCCGCGATCCCTGCGGACTTCTTCTCAGACCCGTCTATGGCGCCTCCCCCAGTCGAAGAGGAGGACGAGGAAGAGGAAGAGGGCGCGGTTGGACCCGCGGGGGCACCCGCCGCACCAGCGGACGCGCTCGACCTCGAGTGGCAGCAGTTCCAGCAAAGCGTGGTCAATGCGCCGGACTACCAGGAGACGTACGAGCGCGCGACGGTCGTGGCTGAGCCTGTGCTCGCGGCCGAGGTGCCGCAAGGATTCCCCTCGTCCACCGTGGGCGGTATTGCGGAGGAGCCGGAGAAGGAAGAGGAGCTGGACGAGGAGGCGAAGCGGCGGAAGAAGGAGCAAGAGGAACGAGAGCTCATCATGGATAGGTTGATGGAGGAGGAGCAGGCACAGGAGGAGGCAGATGAACGGGTGTCGGTGCTCAAGAACAAGTTGGAGGCACTCAAGAAGAAGCGGGAGGCGGCGAGGGCCGCGAAAAAGGGAAAGCCCTAGTCACCCGTCCGACGTAGGGCGCAAGGGCGCAGCGCATGTAAGTAGCTGGTACATTGCTCAAGAATATCGTAGTACGGAATGCTAAGATACGCCGTGATTCTATGTAGATGCGGCCTCCACACTCGTCTGCTCCGACTCGCCCGCTGCTTCATCATCGACATCGCCACCCTCACCTAGCCCTATCCAAGAGCCCCAATCCATACCTCTTTTGTGGAACATCATGAGCCCCAACAAAACCGGAAGATACCAGAGACTGTGCTGGAACACCTTCCTCGCCTGCTTCTCTCCACCGAACTTCCAAAACTTGTACGCTGCGTCCACGCAGATCGCGTGTGGGACAATGCTCGTAAGTGCGAACCCCCAAGTCGTCAATCCCGCGAGAGGGAACAGGATCGACGTCGCCGGCACAAGCAATAACGCATGTCGTAGCGCCACTGTTGCGTTCTTGTGCGGGTCGAGGACACATAGCATTCGGTACCCGGCCTGAGCATACGACTCGCGGACGAGGTGCGACAGTCCGTTGAAATGCGGGAATTGCCAGCTGTAGAGGAGCAAGAAAAGAGCAAGCGGCGCAAGCGGATTCTCCGCCGCAGCGAGCACATCTGTCGTGACGGAGGAGAGGAATGAGGGGAGGACGAGTTCGACGTTCTGGAGGGAGGAGGGGAGGAGTGAGCCGCCGCAGGCCGTCCAGCCCATGAGCGGGGGGATGCCCCCGACGACGGCGCCGACCCAGGTGTTGACGATGCTCTTGCGCTTGAGATACGTGTATGCCCCAGCGTATAACGCTATGTTTGCTGCTCCGAGGAGAGCTGTGGTAGGATTTACCATCGTACAAAGGAGGGCAGGGCCGGCGACGCCTGTCGTGACTGCGAACGCGGTCGCGTGCAGGGGACTGATGGCTCGCCGAACGAGCGGGCGATTGCGCGTGCGGGCCATCTGCGCATCGTACGGAATCTCTTGGATCTGGTTGAATGCATTGGCGGAAGCGGAACAAAGCGCCGTCCCGAGAGCAGTGGAAAGGAGGACAGGGACAGTGGTAGGAAGAGGCGAGAGAGCAACGCCAGCCATGGCGGTCAAAACGACGAGGACGGTCAGATTTGACTTGGCTAGCTGCACATATATTTTGGCTAGTCGTCGGGGTGTGAGTGCTTCGGCCCTCTTGTAGGTCGTTACAGAGGTCTCGACGGCAGGAGAATATGCAGCGTCGATGGAGTGACCGCGGACAGCTTGAAGCACCGGTCTCGGCGGTACTGGGGCTTCTTTTCCTTTCGCAGACCACCTGTGGTTGTCGAAGAAGAAGGCAGAGAAGTTGGCCTGTTTTCGATCCACAGCGGTAGAGGCTAGTCGGATGTGGAGGCCCAAGGCTGCTGGTCTTGCATTCCGCAAGTTTGCAGTACAGCTGCGGCAGACATATGCCACTAATGGACTCCCAACGCCCCTCATAACATCTGTCTACCTCACGGACTGAGTCAGGAAGAGGCCAGTTAGGATTGACTAGCATACACACCGAGATGACTGTCGAGGAGAGGAGGTCGGTGGGCCGAAGGCGCCGGGGCGGGGGCGAGGGTTGACCAGGGTTGGCGCGCGCGCTTTCCCAGGAGCCAGCTTTGCTTTCCTCCACCACCATCCACCTCACAGGCGAGTCTGACGCGGCGGCAGGTTACTCGACGACGCTCGGGGCGACGTAGGACTGTTCATACGCAGCGGGAGGGCACGGTATTTATCGGCACGACCCTCTAAAACTCTAAATACTCTACGTCCAGCTTTGTTATTGTCCCTCACGACTCAGCACCCAACAACCACCTACCCGTATCCAACACACGTTCGCGCACCCACTCACCTCTGAACTTGGTTGCGCCATGCCGGGAACACATCTACTGCCCCCGAATCTCCTAAAACTCTTCGCACCTAGGCCGCCGTTGCCGTATACCCGCCCTCTGGACCGTGACATCGACCGGGTCAGGCCGAAAAATGTCGATGGAGTCGGTTCGCTTCTCGCATCCCTCCGGGAAGCGAAGACACAGGGCATGATGGAGTCGGGGAGCACTGGAGACGCAGGAGATGGAATGGAAGAAGGAGAGGAACCCGCGTTCACCTACGCGGAGGAGACCAAGAGGCAACTTCGGAGGGAAGAGAGAAAGAGAAAGAAGGCCGAAGAGTTTCAGAAGGCGAAGGACAGCTGTGCGTAACTCATCCCACTGCGCGATCTAACCCATGCTAACCGTTGTGTAGACAAGCCGTCAGAGGACCCTGAAGCCATTGGCGACCCGTATAAGACTTTGTTCATCTCGCGTCTGGTATGTACCAATCCCACATCCCTGTGTCATATAGCTAACACGCTTGCTGCAGCACAAAAATGCGACCGAGAATGACCTTCGACGGGAGTTTGAAGGATTTGGCAGCATTGAACGGGTGAGGATTGTTCGTGACAAGAACGGCCGCAGCAGAGGTTACGCGTTCATTGTGTTCGAACGCGAGCGTGACATGAAAGGTAATTATCTTCTTCCAGCTAATGGACCTACTCACCCAGCATGCACCTGCGCACTTGCGTCATGGCGTGACATCGTTTTTAGCTGCCTACAAGGAGTCTGATCGACTTCAAATCATGGGGAAGCGAGTGCTCGTCGATGTGGAGCGTGGCCGCACGGTGAGAGGGTGGAAGCCACGTCGTCTTGGCGGCGGATTGGGTGGTAGGCCCAAGCCTGAGCCCCCTTCTACATTTGCTGCCCCCACTCGAGGCGGCTTCAGAGGAGGCTTCCGCGGCGGTGACCGTGGTGGCGATCGCGGAGGTGGATTCCGAGGAGGGCGTGGTGGTGGATTCCGCGGTGGACGAGGTGGGTTCGGCGGCGACAGGTTTGGCGGCCCTCGGGACGACTATGGTGGGGGCGGACGTGGTGGCTTTGGCGGCGGCGGCGGTGGCTTCAGGTAAGATGCTCCTGCTCGGGACAAGCTGTGTTGAGATACTGACATGGGTCCTTAGGGGGCGCGGTGGCGGCATCGGATACCAAGGTGGTGGTGGTGGTGGTGGTGGTGGTGGTGGTGGAGGATTCGGCGGACCCCCTCCCGATCATGGCCCCGGAGGTTTTGGTGGCCCGCCTGGGGGGCACGGGCCTGGTGGATATGGCGGTGGACCCCCTGGAGGTGGCTTTGGCGGACCCCCTGGCGGCGGCCCAGGTGGGTTTGGTCCGCCTGGAGGTGGATACGGTGGTGGCGGAGGATTTCGCGGGGACCTCAAGCGCGAAGGGCCTGGTGGGTATGACGATCGGGATGTCAAGCGTCCGCGCTACTAGTCTGGCTTCCGTTCCTATCCGGGTCGCAGAGACGTTCCGCACTGGCGTTGGCAGTGCTGGTAGGCTGGTGGTTTGTTTGATGTCTCTTTCTCGTTTGTTCTGTCTTTTGTCTTGTCTCTCCCCTCCTATTTGACCAACCGCTGCTTGCGTAAGTATCGTATCTCGTAATGTATCCCACTTTCCCTTCCTCGCAAGCACAGGTAATAGCCGAGGCAAGTATGTATGAAAAAGTACCTCTTTGCATTGGCAGCTTTCTGGACCATCGGGATCGCCTTGAACCCGTCGTTGGAGTGGGGGGAGGTGTCCGTCTGTCGACGTTGTAGGCAGGGCAAGGGTAAGAGCAACTCGGGCTACGACGGTTGCTGTGGTTGTTGCGGCGCGACGCGCAAGGTATACGTCAGGCCCGCGTACGTGCACAACATCGACTCATCCTGGTATCTGGGCGCGATCAGACTGGTGTACCACCGTATAGTCGTGACGCCGTCGTCTGTTCGGTTGGTCGTGATTTGCGTTCTGTTGGTTTGCAGGAAGCACTGACGATGTGCTCAGGATGACCGCAGGGGTGTCGGTAATTCCTCGTTCGGAATACAATGACTATCTGCCGACTCTGACGCTCAAGTAGTGAATGCCGGCGAACACCTCCCGCGATACTTTTCGAAGGCGTAGGAGGGATTGTCCCGAAAGGGAGGTAGGTATGAAAGGGCCAGACCTGTGAACAATCAAACCTTATCACACCCCCATCATCTACAAGTGCACGAGTTGATAGCCAATCATATCTCGCTGTGGCTGATTGCCTTGGCCTCTTCTCGGCGGCCAAGATTTGCATCCGACATCCATGCCTGCCGAGCATGTTCACACCCTAAAATACTTATTGGCGAACGTGCCACAGGATGATCACTTATGCGACAAGTCCTCGTCCTCCACAGATCACTTCATGTCTGAACCGCCCTGCAACCTTTGGCGTTTCTCAACACTGCACACAACACCGGGACTTGGTACCTCGGTGTCGCATGACTTGCATTGCAAGACCAATCCGCAGTGCGGTACATAACGAATGATAAGCAATATCGAATGGGGCTCGGGAAGACGTGGGTGCGAGGAGAAGGCGCAGGATCAGGGCTGTCAAAGGACAATGATATTGAAACACGCGCCTTTGGCAGGAATGCGACGTTTGTCTGCCCGTGAGCTGGCGAAAGGCGTCGGGTAAGTGGGTCGGACGTGGGTGGCGAGCAAGAAGGATTAATAGTCACGCCGTCTGCATGGCAACCATCCTCCACAGGCAGGACGTTCTGTCCATCCGCGCGCCGCCTTGCCGCCCTCAATCGCCCTGCAGGTACGTGTGGCCCGCACTTCTTTTATGACCGTCATAGCAGCTGTGGTGTCGGCCAAGGGCTCACGAGGACGTATGGTAGCCTCGTCTCGCTCTGTCTCACCGCCCCCGTTTTCCTAACATGGTTGTGCCGCCGACACAGCCCGGCGTTCCGCAGGCGGGACCGCACATCACCGATGGGCCAAGCGATGGGCCTTCTTGGCGCACCGTGTCTGAAAAGGCATGTTGGTGCGGGAGGGACGGAAGCAAACAGGCCGAATGATGGCACGCGCAGTCTGCAGAGCGGGTCATGACGAGAGAGGCGACTGCTGGCGAATGATGTATGGGCGCGCGGCCTCTGTTAGTGAGATCCATCTCTGTTTTGGCTCAGTCCCTGGATGCAGCTTCAGGCTAACTTGCTCGCGGACTCCCAACCGCCCCGCCACCCACGCTCGTCGTCCATTTAGAGCCCCCCCCAGCGACGGCCACCGCTAATCGAGATAGGCCGCGCTGGCCTGGCAAGTGCTCCTGTGCCAGCGAATGCAGGGGCCGTCCTCTCTTCGTCGTTCGCTCTTTCTCTCCCGGCCACCATCCCGCTCTCTTTTGTTCACTTTGCTTCCTACAGTCCGAATGTCGTCGTTGTGAGGGATCCCGGCTCCACAGTACTCCCTCTCTTCTCCTGGGCTCCCTCCGTCCTTCGCTGCTCTCAGGCTGTTCTCCTCCGACCCTGTCCATATATCTTTGATTGGCCTCCCTCCTCTTGCAGACGTTAGTACCCTCCCTCATTCGTTCATCTGCCTTCTAGCTCACCCTTCCCTAGGTCTCAGGTGACCTGCAGGAGTCATTCCTCACTTGGACTCCGTGCGGACTTGTCAACCTAGACCGGTCGCAAACACGTCTCGACATCGGTTACTCCACCTAACAGACGTCCTTTGCGCTGTCCAGGTGTCACTTGGCTCCCGGGTACAGCATGCAAGGTAAGACGCATCGCCGCCCGTAATATGCAATGGCTTTCATACGAACACCGGCACACAGCAGCGAGTGACGCGATCAAGTCGGCAACAAGCCCAAGGGCTGCCCTACCACCCTTGTCGATCAGCGACCTCCCCCCTTACTCCCTTGGACCCTTGCAGGAACACCCCGACTCTGCCGCATCGTCTCCTTTGTCTAGCGCACTATCTCCTCAATCGGCGATATCTCCTACTCCTTCAGATGCTGCACCCCAGTCCTCGAAGGCGTCCGCAAAGACAGGCAACCCCATCATACGGAGGGCCATTTCTTGCGGGTCTCTGCCGGTGGCTGAGGGAAAGCAGAGGCGCAAGAGGTCTCGCGTCACCCCCGAGCAACTGGCGAAATTAGAGGAGTTATTCGCCATGGACAACAGTCCGACGTCTGCAAGGCGAAAGGACATCGCGCGACAGTTGGGAATGGACGAAAGGCAGACTCAGATCTGGTTTCAGAACAGGTGTGTGCTTCTATCAGTGGCACGCCCACTGCACCTCAAGCTCATGGCAAACGAAGGCGAGCAAAGGCGAAGCTGCAGCTAAAGCTGCAAGCCCGGGCCGTCGAGAAGCTCGAGCCGCCTCCCGAGAGTCCGCCAGAGCTTGCGAGTGGATTCGATGTCGACATCCATGGTCTTATTCACGAAGACGCTGGTAAGTGGTTTTGTTACCCAAGTTGTCCGTGATCGACGCTCACGCGGTGTAGACGTGACTGTCTTCCCCTGCACGGACTTGACGATCGGCACCTGGCGACGGATGGCTTCGCCGCGACACGACCTGATCGCGTACACGTGCGATGCGAAGAGATCGCTCACTTGGTTCATCCGTTCCGCTGGTCGCAGTTTCAAGATGGAGATATCGTATGAGCACATCGCGGAAGCCCGATTCTCTAACGTGTCTCCCGGTGTAGGCTCAGCTACCTTCATCCTCGACTGTCCGCCGACATTCTACATGGAAGCCCTCGCCGATCCCGCGCTCGGCGAACAATCACCGCGTATCTGGCAATGCAGCGGAGACTGGACAGAGGCCATGCAAGGAACGACGCATCTTCAGCACTGCTTGGTTGGACCCGCCTACCAGTTATCCGCCTTGGTCAATAGCATTGTGCCCGCTGGCAGTATATCCTCCGAGGCCCCGCTGTACCCGCCAACGCCCTCTGTCTCCGACGCCGGTTCTTCCCCTGAGGTGTACACGCGCTCCCTGCATTCGCCGGCGGAGCAGATGTACCACAGGTCCTCACTTGTGCTCCGACGACCCAGCTCCTTGAGTAGCCTGCGGATGCTCCATCATCCGTCTTTGGAGCGGCTTCGTCTTAGGCATCCCAGCATCCCTCTATTCCATTCCCCACTTTCGAGCACGTCGACGCCCAACTCGCCGTATGCTACAAGTGACGGATCGATGCCCATGTCGCCTACAATACTGTATCTGGACGGGCCAGAAGGGCGACAATATCACGTCCGGCAGAGCGCCACGGCCACACCCGACCAGCTGACCTGCCTTCCTCTCGCTATGCCGAACCTTCCACGGTTGCAATGCGAGTACCCGCCGGACTCCCGACCTGATTCGCCGTACGAGTGCGGCCCCGAGCCGCCTGCGTCTGCGGTGTCCAGCCAGGGCTACTTCGAGGCTTCCCCGATTAATCCGCCGAACTCGCAGGGGAGAGGCAACCCTGGGTACGCGGGCCCTCCAGGAGGGCCTTACTCTTACTCTGGAGCGTACGTGCCGCAGGACCCTACGTTGGAGGAGGGTCCTCAGGAGCCGTACTATCAGTACTACACCAGTTACCCTGGCCCCGCGCCGTCCACAGAGACGCACGACGCCGGGCCTGGAGGCTATGAATCTCGTAATTATTGATTTAAAACATATTCGACTCGGCTTCCCTCTCTTTCCTTCCGGTATCACCCCTTCCCTCTCGCTTCATCTTTCGTATCATACACTACAGTCGTCGACGCTTTCGTATTGCTTCCTGTTCAGCTCCACCCCATCTTCTGGCCTCGGTATCCATCGCCATCTCGCTGCGAGGGTGCTGCGCACCGATCCCAAATGGACCACTAATAGCACATAGCCCATCACCAGAGCCCGTCGTTCTCGATCAACCAACTCACTGTCGTTGCCCCTTGTCCCTCATCCGTGTAGCAGTAGAACCCTTGAACCATTCCCCCCTAGTGGATGATGTCCCATAGTTATTGTGTCTTTTCAGTGTGTATAGCCTGTTTGCGCTCTAGTCCTACGTTACATGGCCTATCCTTCACTTCGTCCTAGTGTATCCCTCGTACTCCATACGCTATATGCTTTCTCGGACTGATAAGTCCTCTATGACCATATCATGTTCGACCAACACGAGTGCAGCCTTGGATGGAGTTCGTCAAGCCCACTCAGGAGATGTCCGTATGATCGCCAAAGTCATGCAAGGCCTGCTTGTTTCCATGCTATGTAGTACAGGTCTAACACCTCCTTATCCGTATTCCGTAGTTTCTCTCATCGGAGCGTCATCGACCGCCCGCTGCAGGTCTGTGGTCAACGGCTAGTCTGAACAACGAGAATGTTGGCCAGCCACTTACGTGACAGTCTTCCTCTCCACAGTCGCCTGCTCCGTCTTGGCACGATTGAGTACCTTCTGGAACTCGCTCACACGGTGACGCATGCGAGAGTGCATGTACGCCTTTGAACACTTGATATGGTAGTGAAGATAGTCACGGAAGAGCTGGATGTGCGTGATCGTCGTGTTCGCAACGATGCTGTTGGCGAAGTGGCGAGGGAAGAGTACGAAGGTCACATAGCCGACGTCGTCCGAATCGTGCAGCCCAGGGAGATGCCTGATCTCGAGGGGAGGCTCGCGTGTGGTGTAGAGGACCTGAGGAGCGCTCTGGATGGTAGGTAGCCGCCGAGCGTCCACGAACTCCTACGTACCAAGGCGCAAAATTATATCTTCTGCTATGGGATGAAAGATAGCGGACGAACCTGGAGGAAGACCTTTCCAAACACGCGGTCGGTCTCTTCCCTGAACATAGTCGAGAAGATGACGGTAACGCGATCGGAGGATGCTTGTACGTAGATTACCTCCTCGTCGCGGTAGTGGAGAGCCATCAAGTCACCCTGACCACTGCCTGCGGCCTCCAATTGCTTCTGCGCGTGGAAGCCAAGCTCAAAAGGTGCAGCAAGAGCATTGCGCTTGAGTAGGGCAAGGCTCTTGAAGAAAGCATCCCGTTGCTCTAGTATCGCCGTTATGATCTTCACTGGCTGTAGATACGGTAGACGGCACACTCACCGCCGTCTGGTGGCAGCTGTTCAAGATCAATCTCCAAGCTGACATTGTATTCGTTCTCGGGCTCGGCCTTTAGGAGTGGACCGTATTCGCGCTTCAGGATGTCGTGTACGCCATACCGAACGAGCTCATCCCAGCAGCGGATGTTCATGGACAAAACGAGCGCAGTCTTGCGATCTGGGGTAGACAGGCGGAAACGTACGCCATCAAAGTCCACAAACTGAACATCTAAGCTTGACGGCCTGCAACGACGGGTTGGCGTTCAGTGCAGGGTGTCACGAAGGATATGCCTACTTGACTGCCTTCTCGCCAAGAGTGGTGTGGATGATGTAGTTGTGAGGCTGCGGTGGATGTTCAGGGACGCAATCGAGCATGCAAGGAGAGTGTAAATACCTCGAGTAATATCATGGCGTACGACGGGATATGAGTGGGCGGTGGTGGAGGACGGGCAGTAGAGTAAGTACGGGCGGGACGGAGTAGGCGGTGGGGAGGGCGGGGAGCGGGGGAGTCCCGTGACCCCGTCGGGAGCGTGAGAAGACTTGACGAGGATCTCAGACGGACTCTGACTGAGAAATATTTCCTCTGTCCGATAGACGTTCCTCCAGTCCCCGGACACACCGTTTTCCATCGTCATTGCTACTCTACCCCACCGGGCAGAAATCTAAAATGCGTATGTGCATCCCTACGTCGATTCCAATCGATGCTGATATCAAGGATCCCGTGCAGCGCCGAAGAAAGCACAGAAAATGTCTCTGAACGAGTTCCTGGGCGATAGCGGTAAGTCTCCGCATCCTCTGAATAGTCGCACACAGCCCAATGCTCCTTTGTCAAGCCCTGGGATCTTGGGCCGACGAGATGGATTCTCTTCCGACTGCTCGTGAGTGCTTCCTGTCTGTGGGAAACCGCAGCCATCTTGACTGCGTCACTTAGCTGCCGCAAGAGCGGATGGGGATGGGCAGAGGGGCGACCGCCGTCGGGACGACTTCCTTGCATCACGTTGTGAGTAGTTAGCATGTTCCTCCGTCCAATCAAACATACTAAAACATCACCTAAGCGGATCGCGCGCCCATGCGTGAGGACCTCCCGTTGCCGACAGAACCTCCGTTCACGGCGTTCATCGGGAATTTGGCATTTGACATCACCGAACTGGAACTGGAAGAATTCTTTGGTGGGGTGCGTGTGTCCTCGCTTGCCGTGGTTGTTCGTGCCTCTAAGCAACCGCAATAGACCAAGTCCGTCAAAATAATTAAAGATCGGGATGACAAGCCGAAGGGTTTTGGCTACGTTGAATTCAACGACCTAGATGGTCTCAAGGACGCTATCGCAAAGTCAGGCTCGGTAAGCTGCTGAGCCTCCTATATAGACCCCTAACTAACGCTTGGTTGAGACCCTTGCTGGCCGTGGCATCAGGGTTAGTGTAGCTGAGCCTCGTAAGCAGATCTACTGCCTCGGTCAAGCTCCGTTATTGATAGTATTGCAGCAAAGGAGCGCTCCGGATTTGGTAGCGGGGGTTTCGACGACGATGCCAAGTTCGCAGGACCTTGGAGGCGGGACGGACCTCTTCCAGACCTTCCTTCTCGAGGCGATGGTCCTCGACGGCGCTTCGATGGACCGCCAGGAGCATCCCGTGAACCACCTCCTCCATCCCTCTCCGATACTACATCCGATTGGCGTTCCTCTCGTTCGGCAGCCCGTGCCCCATCCGCTCTGTCTCCGCAAGAGTCTGAAGGTTCCTTCAAGCGCCGCGGGCCCCCTTCGCGCGAGCCTGCTCCCATAAGCGCTGCCGACACTGAAGAAACTTGGACGAAGGGTGCGAAGTTCCGCCCAAGTGTCTCTCAGGAGGGCGGAGATCGTGCTGAGCGACCGGGAAGCCGATTTGGTAGTCTGCGCCGAAGCGACGTGGGTGGTCCTCCGAGCGTACAGGAGGAGAGCGACTGGAGGCGGCCTCGGACTATCTCACGAAACTCAACGTCGCGTATGTTCTGCTTTCGGATCATGGGAGGTAGTCCATCACTGATACATATCTGCTGCAGCCAACAGCTCGACCCCGCCCACTCCGCAACTGGGTCGCCGTAAGCTCGAACTGCTTCCCCGTTCATCAGCCTCTACCGCCCCTTCCCCTCTTGCTTCGCCCAATCCCTCCACCGGTCCGAGATCCAATCCCTTCGGTGCTGCGAGGTAAGCCGGCCCTTATCTACTCTGATTGAGTACGTGCCAATCGCGGCTGCACAGGCCCGTCGACGTGTCCGCGCGAGAAGCCGAGGTGCAGCAGAAGATCGAGAAGGAGCGTGAAGAAGTGCGCGAGAAGGTCGCGCACGCCCCCATGTCCCGTACTTCCTCCCGGACAAGCTCCCAGCGTCCGACCCCGCCGACTACCTCCCCTCCTTCCAACGTGCAAAGTCCGACTACGCCTCAATCTGAGGCCCGTGCCCTCCCCGCCTCCAATGTTCGACCGACGTTCAGCTTCGCCTCCGCCGCAGCCGGGAAGAAGGACGCAAGCGAGGGCGCTAAGGACGAAGTTTCCAAGATCACAGAGAAAATCGACGAGGTCGAGCTGGAGTCGTCCGAGCAGTGAACGTCTCCCCCTCGTGGCAGCGCAGAGAGAGGCACAAGAAGTCAAACTGGAACCCCCACCATCCTAGGAGATTATAGTATTACGATATCCTCGGACTGCCTCTCGCAGGTGAAAGACATGAAACGTCTACCACACGTCCCAATGCTGTGATCTGTTTTCGTCCTTCGTCGCGCATGTGTTTATCTTATGTGTTTCAATATGTGGCCTTGACTTGCCTAGGAGTTCGCCTGATTCCAATCGCTATTGGTAGACGTGCACGGCAATCCATGAGTTGCATGGTTATGTGTTAGACATGGCTCGGCTGAACGCATAACAGCAATGTCAGGACTGTTTTCGCTATCTCAGAGCATGTAGATGGAGAGTACGCAGACATGCTCTGTATGCATTACCGTCTTCAAAATTACACATGCTCGGGCTATTTGACATCCCATGTTCGCACACGATCGAGATAGTCATGACGGCATGGAATCGTATACACCCTAGATCATACAAGAGGATGTAGGGACACAAGATGCAATCTAAGCAGAGATGGTAACCTCGACCTCGACACCAGGCTCGAGACTGATGGAAGTCTATAAACAATCAAATCGGTCAGACTATGAAGTCTACAACCTAACAAATGGTACTTGCAATCTGCTTGACGATTTCAGAGGACGAATGGAGATCGATCAAGCGCTTGTGGATCTTGAGCTCGTAACGGTCCCAGGTCTTAGAACCCTCACCGCAAGGCTACAATGATATACTCATCAGACACGTAGTAGCTGAGAGATAGCGCACGAGGGGATACTCACAGACTTGCGGGTGGTGACCTTGAGGACCTTAGTGGGGAGACGGACGGGACCCTTCACACGCAGCTGCTTATCCTTAGCACGGTTGATGAGGTCCGCCGAGACTGCCCAATGGCCAGCCGGAGAGGTTAAGTATCTCGCCCGCCTCTACCGTTCAAGTAAGAGACGTACACTTCTCAAGGTTCTTGACATTGCTGCTCGTGAGCGTGATACGGATTTTGTGGATTTTCGCGGCAGGCACGGGGGCACCGGTCGCATCGTATTCCTTTTCACCCTTAGCGACGTAACTCATCCTGATTGTTGGTGGTGAGTCAGAAGGTGACTGGAGCGAAGATACAGTCAGTGCTAGGGAAACTCTATGAGCACAGTGAGGACAGACCTGAGGGCGGTTTGTGGATGGTAGGAAAAATAAGGTTTGGATGCAGGCGCGGAGGTCATGCAGTTCTCGGTGTTTGCCGGGGACCTGATTCCTAAAGAGTTTGAGGCGATAAGCCGGCTTATGTTACGGTAACTGCCAATTGCGGTAGGAAATTACCTCACTTCTCGACCGCCACCAACAGCTCGCTGTCTCCGGCAACGCCATGCAAGGTATGTCGTCGCCCCTGCGACTATCGGGAACAAGTCTCTCATGATTACATCTCAGGTTTCAACAAGTATTATCCCCCCGACTATGACCCGGAAAAGCACAGCAGTCTGAATGCTTACCGAGGTATGCACGGGCCACCGCTCAACTTATATTGCCCTATCGAACCTTCCTTCGGACAGGCAAACATGCCCTCGGTGACAGAGCACGGAAGATAGGCGAAGGAATACTCATCGTGCGCTTTGAGCTCCCGTTCAATATCTGGTGGTGAGCAACTGTCCGCTTCCCTCCACTGCTCGCTGTCCCTCACATGTCCTGCAGCGGAACATGCAACAACCATATTGGGATGGGTGTCCGCTACAATGCGGAGAAGAAGAAAGTTGGCAACTACTATTCGACCCCAATATACTCATTCCGGTGCAAGTGTCACCTATGTAGCGGCTGGTTCGAGATTCAGACAGACCCCAAGGTACATTTCAATATCTCCCTCCGTGTCGTGCCTGCTGATATTGGGCCAGAACACGCGTTACGTTGTTGTATCAGGTGCACGACAGAAGGAAGAGGATTGGGATCCCGAAGAGAATGGAGGATTTGCGGTTCATGGTACGCCTTGTTCTACGCTCGTTCATGTGCTTGACTGAACCTTGGTTGCTGGCAGAAACCGATCCGAATCAAGGGCCTGTCGACCCTCTTGCTGCCCTCGAGAAGTCGACAGACGCTCAGAACCACATGAACAACGTGCAGGTCCCTCGCATCGAAGCGTTACAGAACCTTGCAGATCACTATAGTTCCGACCCGTACACCCACTCTCTCCGCGTTCGTAGACGTTTCCGTGAGCAGAAGAAGATCGAAAAGGCGCGTGAAGAGGCCGACGAATCGATCAAGAGTGTGTATGGACTCCCGGAGGCCCTTGCGTTGTCAGCAGAGGACGACGAGACAAGGGCGAAGGCCAAGCAGGAGTGGGAGGAAGGGCGGCAGGCGCTAGAGGAACGTGAGAGTGCAAAGCGACGCAAGCTGGGGGCCGAGGTCGTTAGCGTCATGCCTCGGGCATCCTCCTCCCGTTCATCAGCTCGCAGCGGACAGTCCAGTCGTCCAAGCAGTAGCAGCGGCAGCAAGACCAGTGACCCTGTGAGCGCGCTGCGTGCTAAGATTCTGGGGAATACTGCGAAGCAGAGCATTTCGATAGGTGGTATCAGTCGGTCCAAACCCCCAGACCCGAAATCAGCTCGAGCCCTGGTGAGACGGATCTGATGGTATACCCTATGGACTTCGGATCGGATAGCCCCAATGTGTATTGTACCCACTCGTATATGTAGCATAGGACTTGCTTGATTGCATATTGTACGAACGCAGTGACACCGCGTACATGGTCCCAACGTTCGCACCGGAGTGATCCGGCCCGCCAAGCGACCATGAGTGGGTTTGCAGTTCTGGCAGTTTGTGGAGAACCACTATATCGTTGCTTGTGCCTATCCGTAAGTCCTTTTATGTCCCCACTCGTGTCTGCGATTATGCTTTGAACGACGCCTCAATCAAGAGATAGACCACCCAATACCACCCGGATCATAAGTTCCGATCGCACAACCAGCACTGTCGAGGATTTGTAACATAACCACCATGACAACCTCAGAGACGAACAATATACCGATCACCGTCTTCACCGGCTTCCTTGGGGCAGGGAAGACGTCGATCATACTATCTCTCCTGCCCCGTCTGCCTAGAGATTACAGGGTTGTCCTGCTCAAGAACGAGTTTGGAGACGTCGAGGGTGAGATGGTACTTCTACTAGGTATGGGTGTATCTTCCACGCTAACGACTTTTGCGGAGGGTAGTAGACAGCCAGTTGGCAAAACAATCAAGCCTCACTGCAGTCAGCGAGATTCTAAATGGATGCATGTAAGCGCATGGATGATAGCGCTATGACGACGACATTCAGTTGTTCATGTCGCCTTCAGGTGCTGCGTCCTCGTCGGGCAAATGAAAACGGCTCTCCTAGAAATCCGAGGTGAGTTAAGGTGTTTTCGTTCGCCCCGCTGATTGTTCATCTCAGCTTGCTGCAGAGAAATTTCGCCCCGACCGGATATTCATAGAGTGCTCGTTAGTGATTACTCACCCTCATGCCAGTACACTAGTCCTGAATTTCCTCCTCCAGCGGCTCGGCTTTCCCTGCGACGTTGGCATTCCAAATACGAGAGCTAGAACGCGAGACGAACGGCGATCTCAAGCTAGACGCCATCGTGACCGTCATAGACGCGGAGAATTTCACTGGATACGAGGATACCTCGCCGACGGCGAAGATGCAAGCGAGCTACACGGACTTGATCCTCATTGTGGGTATATTAATCCAAGATAGAGCCAGCGATTCTAACACAATGTGCGTCGACCAGAACAAATGGGAGCATATTTCCGAGCGGCATGTAGACATCCTCATCGACCATCTGAATACCCTCAACGACACAACACCGAAAGTCAAGTGCCAAGGTAGACAAGGTGTAGACCCGAGCGTCGTCATGGGGATCGACTCTAAACTGTTCCGGCTGGGAAGCTTCGAACACACCGACGTCCTTCATCACGATGAGGTGCAAACCCTAATGATCTACAAAGGTCGCAAGCCCACCTGCGTTCATGATTGCGCCTCCCACGATGGGCACACACATGCCGATCATGCACATTACAATCACGCTCACAACTTCGAGGACAGCGCCGGAAGGAACACGTCACCCGTTGCGCGAGATGCCATTTCATCAATTTCGCAGGACACACTCGCCGATGCTCTAGGAGGATTATCGAAGGAGGCAGTGTGGCGAGTGAAAGGCTTTGTCAAGCTGGAGTCTGGGTATCATATCCTGAATTGGGCATTTGGACGATATGAGTTTACATCCATCAGCGAGGTTCCCGAGGACGTGGGCGTCGTGAAGTTGACTGTGATGGGTGAAAGAGGGGAGGTGAAGCGGGCCTCGCGAAAGCTTGCAGAGAAGTTGCAAGCTGAAATGGTGTGATAGAAGGTACTCATCAGACCCTTCCAGCTATGAAGCTTTGTACCTCTCAGACGGAACTTTTTAGCTCGTTCCTCACATTGGCGGTCACAAAAAGCTCGCGAGCACACGTGCACGCGATGTGCTGACATTAGGGACGGCGTCTTGGGTGACTGCTACGACTGCTCAGCTTAGCGGAAATGGAAACAGAACTTCAGCCTGGGCAACGGTCGACGTTTGAGTCGTGGTACTCGTAACGGGGACATTACGACTGACTGCGACATGCTCCAATACAACTACTTCAACCTCGGCTATATCTAGCTTATCGAACAACGTACGTAGACGGTGAACAGTCAACAACACGCCCTCCTCGGGACAGTGAAGTGTTGGTGCTCATTCTAAGTTGTTCCCTACCTTTGGAGGCTACCAAATAGGGGAATATAGGCATGTGAAGTGCCCAAGTAAACACCGTTTGTGATAATTCGACTGGACGTCGAAGGGGATCGGTGACAACCATCCCCGAGTTCTCCTCCCAGACATGGTAAGTTGATGATATCAGAACGCCGGATTGCACGAACGAAGACTACTTAATATCCTCAAACGCTCGGGGAGGGACCATAATAGACGCCGCCCCCTCTCCTGGCACCGCCACTAGGCCTTCTTTGTCGGACTGCGCTGAGTCGCTTCGGCCCTGGTGACATACATCAAGTACGTACTGATCTTGTCGTCTGTCCGACGGGGTCGCAGCATACAGTCATAACCGGTCCTCGGGAAACTCCTAAATCCTCCTGCTTTAAATCGTTGTGCATATCCATACTGAATTCTAATAGCCTACTGTTCTCTACATTTCATGAGGGGTGACCACAATCGAAGCCATCAGCCTGATCCCGTGCGAGATTCGTCCACAGACCAAATTTGGGACTGGGTTACGCCGAAGTTTATACTTACTGTACATGGAATTGCCTGGTTTTGGGTAACAAAGTACGGTAAGAAGAAAGATCTCTCCCTCCATCAAAGGCCTTTCGCGACCGGTTCAAAACCAGATTGGATCTGCGCAAACGACGATGATTGGTGGTCGGAGGCGATGTGAGAGACCTGAACTGGGAGTGCTGACAAACCGAACAACCCCGCCGGTCTCGGATCCCCTGCGAATGGACTCCATTATCACATTTTTTGTAATGTTTGGCCTCGTTCTGCGGATCGCACTGTGGGGCTGCTGGCTAATACTTCAGCATCAGCAACCTTCTGACAGACAATTGAAGCTCATGTTCCAAGGTCTGGCAGACACTGTCGTGCGCGAGTGGTCGTCCAGTGTCCACTTCCCCGGATTCCAGGGAGCATTGGGCTACAACCGGCCAATTGTGACATTTCTTGTCCGCTACCATTTCATCGTGTGGTACCTGATCCTGACAATGGAGATTCCGTAGGCTTATCATTGATCCACATGACCGGCAGTCGCTGCATCTCAAATCTGGCTCCGACACCTTGGCATCCCAGCCCTCCCATGATTTCTGTGTCATCAATCTCCCTCGGACATCCGAGTGGGGGGCACGATGAGATCATATAACTATGCCATACCAGGCCCTCTGCTGCCCTCGAGTTCAGCCCCGTCCCCCAACACTGGAGTCCGCCATGTCCTCCATCTCGACGACGCCAAAGCTGCTCTCGCCAGCACCCACGAGTGAGCACCCACACAAAAAATCCCCTCTCGACTCGCCTTCCTCACGCTCGTCAGTCACTGTCAACCCCGCTGAGAACGACCCCGAGAACGATGAAGATATCAACACCCAGTTCGAGCACGAGGTGTACGGTCCCGCCCCCGGTGAGAAGCTTGTCGATCCTTTCGAAGTAACAATGGGGCCGGAAGACCCAGACAACCCCAAAACCTGGTCCCGTTTGTACCGCTGGTATATCACAATGGCATCAGCCCTCTTGCTGTTGAATGCGTATGTGTTGCTTTTTGCAGGACCACTAGTGTGCCGTCTGACATGCTTGACAGTACCTTCGCATCATCTGCGCCCGAGGGCATAGTCACTCAGCTCATTGAAGAGTTCGGGTTTGGCACCGAAGTCGCAACGTTGACCATCGCAATCTTCATCGCTGGATACTGTGTCGGTCCGTTGATGTGGGGTCCGCTTTCCGAAGAGTACGGACGCAAACCCATCTTCATCTTCTCTTTCATCTTCTACACCGGCTTCCAGGTCGGTTGCGCCTTGTCGCAGAACACGGCGTCCATCATCATCTTCCGTCTGTTGAGTGGCATTTTTGCTGCTGCGCCTTTGGCAAATAGCGGGTGAGTGGCACTGGCCAAGTTTCACTGGAACGAAAAGTATCTCATCAGCCGCCATAGAGCTGTCATCGCCGATATTTGGGACGCGGATACCCGCGGGAAGGCCATGGCGATGTTCAGTCTTGCGCCATTCGCGGGTCCTTCCATCGGTCCCACTGTCAGCGGCTTCATGTCCGTCGCTGGCGTTTCCTGGCGATGGGTCTTCTGGCTCCTGACAATGTTCGCTGGTGCCTGCATCGCCATCATCGTATTTACCATACCGGAAACGTATACGCCCATACTCCTGGTCAGGCGCGCCGAGAAGCTGCGTAAGGAGTCGGGTGAAAGTCGGTACTGGGCGCCCATGGAAAGGAGGAAGCTCGCCATTGGCCAGCATATCAAAACCGTTGTAGGCCGGCCTTTCGTCATCTTAGCTCGCGAGCCCATGCTCATCGCGATCACTGTGTACATGAGCGTGCGTGACTCGCCCGTTCTATCCTACCCGCATGTTTTGGGCTAACACCCTATGTCTCCACAGTTCGTGTACGGCGTGATTTACCTGCTCTTCGAAGCCTACCCCATTGTCTTCGGCAGAGGTCACGGCTTCAACTCGGGCTTTGTTGGCCTGACCTTCCTCCCTATCCCCATTGGAGGAGCCATCGGTGTCCTCGTGTACCTCTTGTACTTTAACCCTCGGTACGAAGCCGCCATGGCAAAGTACGCACCTGCGCCCGTCCCTCCAGAGTATCGCATGGAGCCCGCCATCTACGCCGCGCCGATATACGCGCTCTCCTTCTTCTGGTTCGGCTGGACGTCCTACCCCCACATCTCCTACTGGGCGCCCCTCGCCGCCGGCATCCCGATGTCCATCGGCATCGTGTGGATCTTCCTCGGGCTGCTCAACTACACGATCGACGCGTACCTGTTCGTCGCCGCGAGCGCGCTCTCCGCGGCCACGGTCGTGCGGAGCATCTTCGGCGCGGTGTTCCCGCTCTTCGCGACGCAGATGTACGACGCTATGAACCCGCGCTGGGCATCGACCCTCCTCGGCTGCGTCGCGCTGCTGCTCATGCCCATCCCGCTCGTCCTGAGGCGCTATGGGCCACACCTCCGGAGGAAGAGCAAGTACGCTCCCACGGGCAAGCCACGAGCGCCCAAAGAGAGCGAGAAGAAGGGTGCCGACGCTGCGTAGGATCTAGGCTTTGGGTGCGTCTATAGGACGCGACGGACCCATCTCATGGTATAAGGGACTTGTGCCCCTTCAGGACATTCATTGACCCTCTGCATCTCATTGGCACAGTACGGAGCGACCGACAGTCATCATACTATCATACTCATCGTAGCATTGCACCCATAGATCTGTAGGTACACTATACCTTGCTCTTAATGACACATCGACATACCATCCCTTCTTCTGGAGTGAGGAACCTGCCAAGTCGTCAGCGTTTCAACTGCACTGAATAGTAGAAATCTTTGGTGAATGGGAATGTTCCTTCATACTGACTTCCTGGGGATGCAACTGTCAATCGTTGCGAGATGCAATGCGATATCCTCATCGTTGTCTGTTCGTAGGGCTAGCCTTTGGTGCGGATCCCCATCCTAGACTAGACGCTTCTCTTCCGTGGCGGTGCTTCTCCACAGGTCTCTGTCTTTTGGTCAACAGACGTCAATGAACTCGCATCTACGCTGACTGTTCATTACAGAGACTAGTGAATACATAGTAAACATCATCATTCAAGATGCTCCGTTCCAACAATCCTAGATATCCGATCAAGATCTGCAGCAAGCAAGAATAGTCCGATCACCCTTTCGCCTTCCCACTTAGACATCGCCACCAACTTCCCACTATCGACAACCCTGTACCAAGTATACTTCCCAGAGGCACAGTCGTATTTCGTCCTCATACCATTCACGCTCACACGTGGCTCGCGAGTTTGCCCAGGCGATGTAACGGAGGGTGGGCATCGCCAGGGGAAGCTTGTTCGGAAGCCTGACCATGGCTTGGACGTCCTCATCAGCCCATCCCGCATCCTGGTAGGCCGGGTACTGAGGCGTCACCAAGCGCAAGCAGACGAGAGAAAGCTTCTGCATGCTCTCAACGGATCGGCCCTGCGGAACACGACGCCCGTCAGCGCACCCAGCAGGCCACGCCGACCACGACTGCACAAACTCACCATCCATCCCGGCTGCGGGGTTCGTTCCCAAGTGTGGCACTACAAATCTAAGAACTTGAGCCGCGGCGCAACGAGGGGAAGCAGGTCCCAGTATTGCGGCAAATCGATGTAGGAATGCAGCGACAGTCCGACCGGGGATATGTCGCGTATGGACTGACGGTACGACTGGAGGTCGTGTGGGTAATTGCGCAAGTGTAGCAGATGCACCTGCCGTGAGTGTCCGTCTGGAGCACTAGTGGAGAGTTCAGTGATCGACAACCGCCGAAGCGCATGACGCGAATGCAATTCAAGGTGATAACTGTTGACAGGTTGCTCGAGCACCTCCAGGTTAGGAAAAAAGGCCATGACGTCCAGGACGGGCGAGTACTGATGGATAGTGAGGTGGCGAATGTGAGGAAGAGTTATGATGTCTTCTCTCGGCTCCAGCGGACGGTCGGAAGGCCAACAGTCAATCCCAGTAAGTTTCAAGTCGAGCGCCTGAAGAAGTTTGAAAGAAGAAACAGCCGCCAGGGCGTTGTGTATAGCATCGAGCATCTTGTTCGCTTCGAAACGGGTAACAAAAGGCGTGTCAAAGTTTCGACCATTTGTCCGTAGAAATTTGAAGATAATGAAGATCACTGCGTAGGTCGCGGAAGATATCCAGCGACTCCACATCAACCTCGGAGAGCTCGAGACCAGCTAGGTGAGTCATGGCCGCGACAGCATCGCGTATGCGGGGCTCATGGCGCACGAGGTGTGCGAAATGCTCGAGCCGCAAGTGGTTTAGATTCTGCGCTGCCTCGAGGATGTCTCCGACAAGTGTGGCGAGGGAGTACTCGTATGTCGTCTTTGGGTCAGCCCAGTTGAGGTCGTCTTGCCACGGGCGGTCGATAAAGACGGAGTCGGCAATAGAGAGACTGCGGAGAAAGATAGCACGCCGAAGGAGTCCCTGAAGGTGATAGAGGCGCGCGCGACGCAAATCGGCGGCCGTCTTGCAGAACAGAGTGCAGGAAACGCGATGAATGGCTAAGTCGTGGATGCAACGGCAAGTGAGAGCAAAGTTCAAGGCGTCCCGTCCAGAGAGATGGGAGGCGATTTCGTGCAGGACATCGTTGTTCAATGCGGAGAATGGCACAAGGGTCTTTGGCGGTTCCTCGTTACGGTTGGGGCAAATGGGAGCTAGATTGGGAGTCCTGGTGAGCATCGAGTGGTTCATGCCTCTGGGAGGAGAGAGACGTACGAGTGATTTGGCTTGTGGCCATCGGTGGCGGCGGTCGTGGTCGAAGACGCTAAGTAATACATGATGGAGACTGAGCGTCATCTTGGAATCTTATCAGATAAGATGTCCCCACATTCCCAGCGATGACTAAGACACAAGTTCGAGCGCTCAAGATGTAGCATCTCGAGTTTATCACATGCCGCTCACGCGCTGGTTGCGGTCAACGACCATGTTCTCCTATGTCTTCGGGTCTGGTACGCACGCCCTCTGGAATCCTGCAGGACATCTGTTCTGACACATGGAATGCAGCCAGCACCTATTTTCACCTCCCCATCGAGGAGGACGAAGACGAGGACGACTTCATCCCGTCCAGCACCAGGCACATATCTTGGGCCTCCCCAGATACTACTCTCGTTGACTGCGACACGATCCCCTCTTCCATTCCTTCCTCAACCTCCTCCCAGTCTCAACCTGGTTCCTCCAAGCCTCGCGAACTACACTCTCAAGGCCCATCGGCAAAGAATAAAGCGGTCATCAACGAGATTCTTGCTCAGGATGATTGCTATGCCGTCTTGGGCATCTCTCGATCTACCCGCATAGACAAACTCACCCTTCGCCGTGCCTACCTCGCTAGGAGCAAATCATGTCATCCAGAGTACGTACATCCCACGTAACGCCGATTTGCACCGTCCATTTACATCTCTCCGACCGCAGCAAATTCCCCGACAATCCTGAAGCCACCCGCGCTTTCCAAAAGGTGTCCGTTGCATACGACATTCTCAGCAAACCCTCATCAAAGCGCATGTACGACTCCCGACCGACACAAGCCCCCTTCGACTTCTTCGCTTCTCGGACATTTCAAGCGGAAGAGACTTTCCGCGGAGTCGTGATAGGCGTCATTAATGACATGCTTGACGGCGACCTGGAAATGATCCGTACCTTACTTTGTAAGTTTCAGCAGTTCTTTCGTCGATGCGCAGACGCCTTACACCAATATCATAGTCGCCGTCAATAACATGAATCCGTCCTTGCAACTCGGAGAAGAAGGAATCAACTCGGTGTTGATGACCCTCCAAGCAATCCGAACCCGTGCACTCAGTTCGTGTTCCTACATAATCATCGTCTGCCACCATCTCAATTCACCCTCTCTATCCTTTCCGTCACAGCGTGTCGGACATGCATACACGCCCTTCACAACGAAGTCTCCCGTCTCCTCGAAGCCCAACGAGCCTTCCGGCAGCTCTCCTACTTCGACCTCCGCCGTCGTTCCCACCTCATGATCCACATCGCTCGCCTTACCATCTCCATGCCTATCGCTCTCGAAGAAGCTCTCAGACAACAGAAACAAGAGGACTACGGCAGAGACGCCCTGAGGGAAAACCAAACTGCTCTCCTCAACCGCCGTATCTACGCCCTCTTACGAGGCGTCGTCTCCGTCCTCGAACGCATGGAGGGGCTCGTCAAGAAATGAGCCCATAAACCCCCAGCGGCATCCTCTTCAATTCGCCACTGGCCACACGCCACCCCGGATCTCCATCGAACAACTGCGGACGTTATCGCCCGGATTGTGTTCACGATCGTATGATTGAGTTTTGTATAAGTCTTCTGTCTATCATCGTCGCCCGGGCTTCCTTCACCTCGTTCTATCGTTCGCGTTGCTTATCGCTCGCCCCCCCGCTGTTACGCCTACTTTATGTGCTTCACTTTCCCCCTCTCCGACCGTCGACCGCTCCACCGACTCGTGCCTTGCCTTGCATATGCACATTTCCTATGTTCTCCCCCTCGTCCTACCCTCGCATCATCACCATTCCTAGACTCGCGCTTTCCATCGTCACATAGCAGTATCGATCCGTGCATGAGGCTGGCCCTTCCACCCAGCCCTCCCTGTATCACCCGCCTACCTTATGACCACGTAGATTAATGAGCAGCCAAGATGTGTACAAATATGTGTACGTGTATCAGGGCATACGCAGAGAACAGTGTGCGTTTCCTCGCATCCGTAAGGCCCACAAAGCGACAAAGTGGCGCAATGTACGTCTATCTAAGTTGTAGTCATCCTCGTAGCAGAAGGTGAAGGCTCGACCCCTTGACATAGTGCTGCTGTGAACTAAGGTCAACGTCGACTTGAAGCGTTGAGCTAAGACCATATCATGAGCCACCTTGAGGCGCGGCCGGTAGGTCATCCCGTGACGTGAGGCAAAACAGCCTGAGCTCAAAGGGCCCGAAGGGCCCTCTAAAATGGGCGCTGGGCCACTGCCCAAGGCGAACGAAGTCCTGTAATAACCAGAGATTCAGTAAGTTCCGTTGGCTTGAGCTTGGTTTAGGGGTTCGTCTGGGGAACCAATCCGAACGAGGGGTGAGCTTGGCCTTTGGAAAACCGAGAACGGCTTGAATTGAATTCATTACACTCATCAGCAGTAACGATGTCGCATACATGGCCAGGTAGAATGGTGGACCCGTTTGTGAAACCTCCTTAAACTCCCCATTCTTTAACATCCACACAGTCCCCGCGTTTGCAGCCGTGGCTCCCGTGTGCCAACGGGGATGAAGCCGACGCCGCAGGGGTGTATGTGGGAGCCGCAGGAGGTGATAAGGCGGACGGTGTGGGTGCGGGCCGCGCGGTGGGAGGTCGAGGGACGGGAAGTGGCCCTTGACGTTGTGGCCCAGTCGACGGACCAGGCTGGGTATGCGTACTCGGGCCCACCTGAGCCTAGTTGCCGTCTGCAGGTGGTCCCGAACGCATGGCGTTGTTCACCCACGTCGTGAACGCATGGTTCGCCTGGTTGACCTGCATGATCATCTGCTGCACCCACTGCAGCGGCATAAAGTACTGCGTTGGGTTGCTCGACAGCATTTCGCGTTGCTGCTGGACCACAGAAATCTTTCAAAGTCCGATGTTATTCCACACAAATCATTCGAAAGCAAGGAAGCGCTTACCATCATCACCAGCTTCTTGATCACGTCTTCCCTCATGCACACCGCAAGATGAGGCAGCTTCTGGTCCAGCGTCGTCACCAGACGGTGCAAGTGCTTGAACTGCGCGTTGTATTCCAGACGCTGAGCGTCATCTATGTGGACCGGGCGGGTCGTGGGGAATTGAACGTCTGAATCACACAGTCAGCCCACGTCGGAACAACGCAGACAGCGTACTCGAGGAAGACTCACGCTTATTCTCCTCCTTGAGTCGTCTGACCATCGCCACCGCCGCCACCATCTGTGCGAGAGTTGGACGGCCGGTTGAGATAGGTAACATCCCGGGAGCACTGCCCGGTCGCTGCTGCACCTGCTGCTGTTGCTGCCCATTCGGCGGCGTCGACGATCTGTTCATCCCGTTCGCCTGGTGGTGGAGCATCGCGTTCGCGATCGCCATCTCAGGATTCGAGACGTCGCGCGGCTGACCCTGCGCTGCGATCTGGATGATCTTCGCGCAGTTGCGCTGCTGCTGGAGCGTCGCCTTCAGCTGGTCGCGGTGCTTCTCAACGAGCGCGATAATGTGGTCCGGCACGCCGCGCGCCTGCAGCTCGGGGGCGGAGAGCTCCGCGTAGCTGATGGTCTCGCCAAGGGCCTTCGGGTCCTTCATGTTGCTCAAGCCCTGAGGATCCGCGGGGCCTGATGGGCCGGCGGACATGTCGCCACCGTTGACCTTCTGTTCAAGTGTACTAAGCCGTCGATTGTGGAAGAGGTGGCAGAGATACTGGCTGTCGAAGTACTGCAGGCACCGCTTGTACACCTGCTCGATGTGAACCGCGATAGCAGGCCCTGACCTCGCTGGCTCATGGCCGTTACCAGGGAAGTTAACGAACCCGAGCCGCCCCGCGATGACCGGCCACTGCTCCTGTGAGATCACGAGAGTGGGAACGAACTGGAAAGGCCGATTCGGCGCAGTGTGCTGAAAGCCGATCAGATAGCCGTTCTGGCTCATGACCTCGTAGTGCAGCTGGTACAGGTCGATCTCGCGACCCTCGACCTTGAGCATGGTCTGGTCGACGAGATGTTTCAGTATCCATTGCTGGAAGTACGCCTTCGTGAAACTTTCGCGCGTCAACGGAGCGTACCACAGGCTGAACGGAGGGCCAACGCCGTTCGGAAGAGGATCAGGCCTCATCGTCGATATCGACAGCATATTCATGGCCTGCTCAAGCTGGCCGAGCTGCATAGGCATCTCCACATGATGCTGGAGGTCAGATGCGATAGCGTGATTGTCATCGATCAGCAAGTCCGCATCCCGGGTGTTGGAGAGCTGGTACGATGCCATGAGCATCAATGTAAGAAGATGGGTCCAGAGGACATCAGTAAACCGTGCATTAGCTTAATGGCTTAGCGCCTTAAGCCACTTAGCTCTCCCGCGCATATAGGGGTGCTCAATTCTTGTCGGTCGCTCAGTTGCTCGCGCGCCTATTGGGCGCCTGCCTAGCTGCATTCAAGGTCAGCTCAAGCGTCTGCAGCACAGCGAGCAGAGACGCGCAGGCAGCGGGCGCAGAGAGATCGACAAGATCGTCTCATGCTAGGTTTGTTAGGCCCGGAAAATCAGCCCAGCAAGTGAATGGTGACGTCGGGAGAGCTTATAAACTCGTTGACCTGGACTTATTGTACACAATGCGCCCAAGTCGGAAACAGAATCAGCCCGACATATATATGGTTCAGCTGAGGGTGCCGCTCTGGGCTCGATGGCAACTGGACTCAAACCTTGTGAGGCGACTCCATATCTCGAGACAAGCAACTTTATAGCTTCTGAATTGTCAAATCCTCGTGTCGCTCTCTAGTCCCAGCTCGGGGGCATCATGCGGTCGTGTTGCACCTGCTGCCTGCGTGTCTCTGCTCGCTGTGCTGCAGACGCTTGAGCTGACCTTGAATGCAGCTAGGCAGGCGCCCAATAGGTGCGCGAGCAACTGAACGACCGACAAGAATTGAGCACCCCTTATCTTCGAGCTGCTCACCCGCTCACCTTCCCATGGAGCCGCACCTGCTCATCCTCGCCCAAGCTCCGCTCAATCGCAACCGCCATCTCGTCCTCTCCGCTCTCATTCATCTCCTCCATACTCTCCTCATCAGCGGCGTCACGGCGTATTGGAGAGTGCGACGATGCCAATGGGGAAGAGTGTCGCCTTAGAGTTGTTTCACGTCATGTCTTCATCTGGAAAAACAGCCTTTGCGAATTGACACTAATTATCACTATTCAGATAATCTCATCTATATTAGCAAGTGTTAGCAGAGATGACATCTACATTAGAGCTACTATTCAGACACACTTCTTCAGTAGTGCAACTCAGCACTAATTAGTATACTTGATACTAGTTATAACTACTCTTCACTATCGCTTTTTCTATAGTGCCATATAGTGCCAACATAATACTACTATAGCACTACTGCAAATGTGGTCCTCTAATTTTCGCTATTTTGCACTACTGTAGTACTATTTTGCACTATTTTAGCACTACTCATCCAGGGAAGACTCAAATAAGAGGACAATCCTTTATTTATAGCTCATAGTTCTCAACTCAAGCATTACACACCTCTATAGCTGCAAAATCACCATGATAGCTGACTTATATTGGAGGACACAACTCAACATAGAACTTGTCATCATGTATAGGACTAGGCTGTCAGCACAGCATTCATACCATGAAGCATACTCTATAGCACACTCCATATTATATACATAGTCCCAGACATTACACATATGCAAGCCT